CCCTTTTTTAGGTATGAACCTGTGAGACGGTTTCTTTATGTAATTTTGATTGATAGGGCATTTAAAACTATAATCAACATGCAGGCAACAGTCGCCCATCATGTCCCTGAAGAAGATCGCAAATGAACACTGTAATGTAGTAAATTGGATTTTAGAAAATACAATGTTAATTCGTATGTACATTTATAAAGTTTGCAATCTGTATATACACACAGCACTGCACGGAAACCTGCAGAGAAGAAAATGAAATGAAATGAAATGGGGTTTAACGTCTGCTTCGACTGGGCTAATGAAGACTCGCATACGCCATACAGTGTGCTATGAGGGAAATTTTATCCGGACAGCGGCGCTACCGCCTGCTCTTATATCGAATTCCAACTGTCAGGGGATCTTTTACGTGCACGCCAATGCGTACACGCAATCTTGGTATTGAGTGCCATCCGAACGACTAGACAGCTGTCATTGTTATGACATCCATCCTGCGCCACTGACAAGAGGAAACCACGCCGCAAAATCCAGATTAACTTTCTGTGGACAAGACACAAACTACACAGACATTGCAACGGGGCCTAAAATAACGCGCCTTTAAGCACGAAGGTGCTTCGAAATGAAAAATCTGTGCTCTGAAAAAAATGTTGATGTGATGATAGAATTTGAATTATAATTCAAATATTATCGTAACTAAAGTGGTTTGTTATCTCCCTAGTGCTGGGTTTTCATGCGAAAAAAAAGCTGCGCATAGCCAAATAAACTCCTATGTAAACTGCGCCAGAATAGTCCAATGATGTCGTTTTTCAGCTCTGAATGTTCAAAATTGTCTGGGGGGAGGCCCCGCAAACCTCCGGCGCTCGCGGGCTTTCGGCGACTCCGCTGACACAGATTCCGTGCTACGAGAATTTAACCTTATTTTATACCCCCATTTCACTGGGCCACGGAAGACTTGCGGAAGGAAATCCGCAAGTGTACCGCAAAGTCCGTAAGTCTTTCCTCTCACTCCGTATGGCTCCGCCAGGAAGCCCAGTGAATCCGTAGTCATTCCTCGTCGTCCACAGACTTTTGGGAGCCCAAATTGTTCCGCGAACGTTCCTTTAAATATCGTTTGCGGAAAATGTTTTCGTGCTCTTCCGCAATTAAACCGGGATCGATCCGAGAGTCTTCCGCTGTTATTCCGTATACAAACGTAGTTGTCGCAAGTTGTCCGCATGTATACCGCAGGCATTCCGTCACTTTCCGCGGGTGTTAGATGGTTACGGATGACCTTCGTTCATGTAAGGAAGAATACGGAAGACCTTCGCCTGCGAAAGGAAAGCGCGGTATATCACTGAATGTTTACGGAAAAGATGCGGATGAGACGCACAAGAACGAGGGATAGCCGGCCTGACGACAGATTAGTTACGGATTAGGCAAATGAAATGAAATGAAATGAAATGGAGTTTAACGCCTTACTGTTCTGCTCCTAACCTGGGCTAATGAAAACGGGCATACGCCATACAGTGTGCTATGAGGGAAATTTTGCCCGGACAGCGGCACTACGGCCTACTCTTATATCGAATTCCAACTGCCAAGGGATCTTTTACGTGCACGCCAATGTGTACACGGGACCTCGGTTTTTCGTCCCATCCGAACGACTAGACAGCTTTCCTTGTCAGCCCCTCCGTCCTGCATCACTGACAAGGGAGAACCACGCCGGAAAATCTGGATGAACTTTCTCGGCCAATGCAGGGATCGAACACCCGACCTCCAGGCTAGCTAGCTAGCGTCTTACCCACTTAGCCATGTGATCCCCAATACGGATTAGGCGCGGTTAATATACGGGTCATTTGCGTACTGCATGCGGTACGCGAGGACTACTTGCAGAAGCGGCGAATCAATCGCGGTTTGTTTGCGGATTTCACGCGGAAAAAAATTTCAGGGTATAGAATCCGTGGAAAGCCGACCTCCATTTATAGATATTTCTACCTCGACGGCAGAGCTGCGGAAAAAAATCACGGAAAAATTGCGGAACACATGGGAATGAGCACGGAAGACATAAGGATAATTTGCGGGTCACACTCGGCAGTAGCGAATAACTGTGGTATCTGGCGATACTAATCCGTTTGGCACGGTAGAACTGCGAAATAATCGCCGAGTACTTGCGTTATACGCGGAATAAATGCGCAACAAGTGCGGACAATCTTCAGCAACAGCGTTTGGTCTCGGATCAATCAAGGCGTACCTGCGGAAAAATTTGTAAAGAGCAGATGATTTGCACGTGATTTCGCCTATAAAATTGCTGGACCCTTCTTCTTACAACTAGGCTTCCCCTTTGGCATCTTAAAACAATTCTTTGCAATACCTGTTGTCGATGACGAGGTAGAAATATCAATGAATGAAGGATGACTTTGCACGGATTTTATACCCTGCAAATTCTTCCGCGGGAAGTCCGCAAACAGTCCGCGATTGATTCGCGGCTTCCGCAAGTAGTCCGCAAACGAGTCGTATATTAACCGCGCCTAATCCGTGACTAACCCGTCATCACACCGCTCTGTAATGCATCATTATCCATGGTGTCAGGCTATTTACGCCACTTCAGTATCTCATCCGCGTCTAATCCGCAGGTCTCGATTGGTCTGAGACGAAACGCGGTTGCCGAAGATTGTCCGCGCTTGTTCCGCAGTCATTCCGAAGTTCTACCTTGCCAAACGGATTAGTACCGTCAGCTACCGCAGTTATCCCGCCATTGACGAGTGTGGCCCACAAGTTGTCCGAATATCTTCCGTGACGATCCGGGCACATTCCTAAGTGTTCCGCAGTTTCGCCGCCGCTTCGCCGTGATTTGTACCGTAGCTTACCCGTATGTGTTCCGAAGATACCGTGACTGTTCCGAAGGTATTCCGAGAGCGTGTGAAATGGACATTTTCCGTGGAATTTTTTTTCCACTTTTCCGCGTAAAAATGCCGAAGCTCTTCCGTAGAAGCCATTCCGCGGACGTCCGTGAGTACCGCAGCTTTACGCAGCTCAGTGAAATGGGGGTATTAGGCCCGGCATTGCAAGAATTAAACAACAAAAGCAAGTGAATGGATCCAGGGACCAGTCGTGAGATACAAGCTTCACCCAAACTGAAAAAGAAAACTATGATTTACAAGAAAGAGCCAATAGAAATAATGCAACCAGTATGGACGGTGGTCGTCTCCGGAATGGCGATAGTCTGCCAGTTGACGCCATGAGTTAAACGTCAAAAAATTAACAATAATAGGAGCGATGATCCGGACAGAATCCCCGAAAACGCTAAAAAATTAAAGAGCGATTTATTAATCAAATAAGGTAGTTTGGGCGTACATAGTCGTCACCCTGTCCGTCCGCCCGTCAACAATAAGCTACTGTTTTTGACGCACCTTTTTTTCAAATTTGCTGTGAAGAATTGTGGTCATGATTTTACGAAACGTAAGCTATAGTTTTTGAAGGATTTATTTTCAAATTTGTTGTGAAGAATTGTGGTCATGATTTTACGAACCTTATTGATATTTAGCGCTCCTCAGTCTTCCTTCCGTACCAGAAGCATCGGGGCCATGGGAGAATGAACACTATAGATACTGAGCGTTCTGCAAATCTTCGTTTATGATATACCTCTCCCCCCCCCCCGCCTAAAACCTTATGAAATATGGTCCGTGATTCATTTTGGTCATGGGATGACTAACCCTGTCGATATTCAGCGTTACACGACTTTGCCAAAAAATAAAACACACAAAAAAAACGAGAGAGATTATTTTGTTTTTAACATTTTATTTAACATTTAGTGGGAAGGACACTATTGATATTCAGTGAGTTTCCATTCCGGAGTTATCCCCCCATTACTATGGGAAATCCCGTGAAAGGGGGCAGTTTTTAAAGGATTTTATCTTAAAATGTTGTGTGAAGCGTCGTGGTTATGCGAGGATCAACTGTATCGATATCCAGCTTTCCGCTATAAGTTTAAAATACCCCCTTTGACAAACGCAAAAGTCAAATATTACATAGTCGTCTTCGTCTCTCTTGCAGCAATCTAAATGAGTATAAATATTTTAGGAATATTTCGGAAAGCTCCGCGTGATTGTGGCCATTTCTTCGAAGATACCGATCATTTTCTTTTATATTGCTCCTTACATTCTGAGGAGGGGGTAGGGGTGGATGGCCGAATGGTTAGCATGTGCGCGTTGTATCATAAGGTCTGTCATTGAGTCAACTGGCGTGGTTTCGATTCCCCGGTTGTGCGTGACAAGTAGGGTCACCTGTCGTGGCTCATGGGTTTTCTCCGGGTCCTTCGGTTTCCTCCCACCGCTAAATACCCCTGCGCGCGCTAGAGAGAAGAGAGAGAGAGAGAAATGGGTTTTAACGTTCACTCGACACAAACTAGGTCATTTCAGGACTAACATATGGTTTACTTTTATTTCAATAATTCGCTTGCGCGTAGGGGTCTTTAGCAGTGGGGGGAAACTGGAGAACCCGGAGAAAACCCACGAGGTCTGCGCACAAGAAAATTATTGAAATAAAATTGAACCATGTGATAGTCCCGAAATGAACTGGTTTGTGTCAAGTGGTCTCTCCACTCTCTCTCTCATTACATACTGATGCACGCAAAATGTCTATTACCACCCACTTTTATTAATACACAGAATCTGTTATACGGTGTTAGCAACAATCATACTTCGTTCAACATCTTTGATAAAGGTTCACTTCTTATTTTACACCAGCAGATGGTTTTAAGATCAGTTAACATCTTTATCGATCATGATCAAAATGGGAACATGAACAACTGCGTAGCCAATGTGTAAACATGTATATATTAAGTATTGCTTTGTTGTTTATTCACCTATTTCCATATATATATTTATTCTTGTATTTAGGAGAGAGACTATAATAGTATAGGCTATGTCTGTTCCTCAATCCCTTTCAATTTCAGAATAAAATATTGTTTTAAAAATAAAATAAATAAAATATAATAATCTAATGCAAGAAGTGTAATATTTATTGTAAAGATTTTTTTTTTGAATAAAGACATTATACACAAAGTTTAAAAAAGAATAATCATTTATAATAATGCATACTATAATCGAGTCATAAATGCTACTTGTGCTCTACTTCTATAATAACTGAATTATATTAATATTGATAAATTATCATTCATTTATTACAATTATAAAAGTTATAAAACATGTGCAGGTATTATTAGAAGCTTTTTAATATTCATTTATAAAATAGGCTTAGCCAACTGCTAAAAATAGTTTTAAGAGTTAAATTTCAAAAAGATAAAATACAGCAGTCTTCAAGCAAATATCTGTATAAAGATTTTAACATATTCATGTGTTGAACAACCTGAAATATTGGTTTCTTGTACTCTGTTGTGGTTATTAATGACATTATAATCTGTTTATATCTTGGGTTTATAAATCAGATCAGTAGCTATCATCAAGGAATGCTGGAAAATATAATAATTTATATACTGTGCAAAGTTATATAACATATCTAGCGGAGGTGCAATTTGTCCGATATAATTTGTAATAAATCGATTTTTCGGCGATTTCAGGGGCGTTTAAAGTACCTAAAGCTAGGCGGTCAATCACTTTGAATTGCACATGACGTCAGAATTTTTGGACCAAACCCGAATTTTTGGACCAAACCTAACCCTAGCACGGGTTGCGTGTCAGTGTCGCTAAAAATAAACCATCATCTCGTTTATCAACGCGAGATTTCATCAATTCACCATGGCCGGTGTTGTGAGGAATGTCTCCCTTGTGCAAAATTTCCGAATTAGTATACGTTTCAATATGGCGGTCATTCGGGACAGAGATCTATGCTCAAATTATATAGTTCTCTGTGGGCAGGATGAATTAATATCTGACAAGTTATTGGTTACATCATGTAAGTACTTGCTTACTTTCTGTCTAAGTACTGGGAATTAGACAACTTAGACAATTTAATACCTATTTTCTGTGTAATAAGTTGACAATATAATTAATACCTACTTTCTGTGTAATAAGTTGGGAATTAGATAATGCTTTTAATACTTACTTTCTGTATGATAAGTTGAGAATTAGATAATTCTATATCATCAGTTATGGGTAATACCAGACCTTTGCTTCCCAGCGCTGTAAAACAAGTGATACTTTTACTATTTTCAAATACAGAAATAAGCCCGTTGTCCATGTACGCCTTTTCACCGGCGAAAAAGTCTGTTTAATACAGATGTAATGGGACCGTTTCCTTATTTAAGCATTTCAACCCGAGAAAACGCGAGCAGAAAAAAAAGTTGCTCGATGAGATACTTTTTTGCTGGCGCTTTTTCTCGCGAGAAGTGTGCTCATGGCAGACAAACATGGGTTCTCTCACTCGGTAAACCACTGCAGATTCAGGTACATCTAACATCGGCTGTATCCATACAATTGTGATGCGGCTATCGGTTTACTTATTAAGAAAACTTGCCCATTCTAGAAAGAAGTTTTAAAAATGGTATTGTTCGAAGAACGTGTAGAGTTTTCATTGCAAAGTCGTCCTTTGTTTAAAGAAAATGCTTTTATATACATTCATTTAGGTCTTTTATTTATTGTAAAATGTGGGGGGGGGGCGCGAATGGTTAGCACGTGCGCGCTGTATCATAAGGTCTACCATTGAGTCAACTGGCGGGGTGTCGATTCCCCGGTTGTATACGTGACGAGGAGTATAAGGTTGCCTGTCCAACCTCGTGGCGGGTTCTCTCCAGTTCCTCCGGTTTCGTCCCACTGCTAAAAACCCCTATGCGCAAGTGAATTATTGAAATAAAATTGAACCATGTGTTAGTCCCGAAATGACCTAGTTTGTGTCGACTGGACGTTAAACCCCATTTCTCTCTCTCTCTGCTGTAAAATACTTAGGGTTTTATCTTTGATTATCACTCAGCCTATTATCATCGTTTTGATTAAAGATACATTATGTAAGATTTAGATAAAGAACTAGCCATTCTTGCTATTATAGTTCGAAAGTAGATGATGTAAAATGAATAATTTGAAAATTTCATTCAAATTACTCTATTGCAAGCGAAGATATTAGCCTTTGAAGGTTTGACAGACGTGTGAAATAATTTCAACCACCGTACTGGTTGATCGAAGCTAAGTCTCGGTCCCCCATATTTGATTAAATCAAAGTATCGCTGAACCATTCTAATCTATTTAATATCGGAGAAATCTGATGCCATAGAGGGTTGATTAAGGCCTGGATCAGTTAATTAATGTCTAATTAATACTTTGGAAAACATTTCAGGCCTAAAGAAAGACCTGCAATAGGCAGATTTAGCTCTTGCATAATGCATGTTTAAGTTAATGTTATAAGATAAGATTTTATTGTATCGAAAAATCCATTTAGGACAGCATACAATATAAACATGTACATATATTTATAACAATATGACAAATAATATTTACAAATAAGACAAGGAAGGGTAATATTAATCTAGCTTATAAAATAGATGTACTAACAGGACAACAGTATGTAATGTACACATTTACCTCAAACGAGTTTGATAATGGTGCAGCATTCAATACAGTTATGATGCATGGGTATAAGTGTTATAAATAACGAGAAGACTTAGTATAGGTATTTACATGGAAATATGATATAGGGATGCTATAATAATGATATGAATCAAGTTATAGAATATGGAATGAAATATATTAATTCATGGAAATCTAGAGAATAATTTGGATACAAAAATGTAGAGATAGGCTACAAGTAGCTCTACACATTTTATGTTCTTAGATTCATTGAATGAAAAACAAACGCACTAACTTAGTTTGCAACTGTTTTGGGTGGGTTAAATAGGTTTTCTAAGGAATAGGGTAGATAATTATCTGTAAATGCTGGGTATATGTGGACGGTACGTAAATCTTCACACAGTAGACATTCTAGTAAAAAAATGAGCTTCGTCTTCCATTTTTTCTATATAGCATTGTTGGCATATTCTTAGATCTTGCGGGGTACATTTTTGTATCTGCCGATTTCAACGTATATATTTATGGCTCCCTTTACTGTATTACTGTATAAATACTTCGGGTATTATACCTATCAATTTCTCGATAAATAATAAAAAAAGTACTATCGTCGAAACGTTGCATGTTAATAAACTAGTAATTGCCATTCCATAAATGGCTTTAGTGGGTTACTGTTCAATTACCAAATGCCACTCAAAGAAGTTATGACTAGGTCTAATTTACACGGATCTTAAAGTACCGATACGTCATTTTAGCGCTATAGAATAACTTTCAAACTACAATACTGTAAAAAATGCATCTCTAATAGGAGCATCAGTCCGAATTTTGTTCAATTCCGTTCAGTGTGTACAAAGATAATGATATTGAATTTTAATTCCATTAATTTTTGCGACTCGCTACGCAATAAGCCCACCGCCATTTTTTTGTCCGCGAAAATTTATTGATAGGCCTTTTTAAATCCAATTGAATCCAAGCCCGGACATTATCTAGCGTTGGTATTTTGATTTGGTTTTCTTAATTAGATATTAAATAACATATCGGCGGGGGTTAAGCCGTGAGAAATTTGATATTTTGGCGAAAAATGCAAATGACGCATGGGGCCTTTAAGAAACATGATCACTGAGCTATGTTTTGCACAAATTAAAAGAATGACATATATTATAGCCCGTTCAGACGCTTAAGTTGGATTAGTTAAAAAAAAACGGGGATCATTAAACCAGTTTAACTTTGTCGTCTTAACGCAAATGTGGAGCAAATAAACCAGCTCGCGTCCTGTCTTCGAGAAGGCTTCGCCGTCTGAGCTGGTTGGCTTAATATATATAAAAACACCGACTCCAGCTTGCTTTGAGCATGCACAGTACTTAGTAAGTTACAATCCTGTGAAAATATCGGGGTCAGACAATGCCAATGTTATCAAAAGCGTGCGAGAACTGATGCGTAGTTAACTCTAACCTCCGACCGAAGAGGTCAGAATAGTTAATTATAAACTGGCCTGGCTTATAATACGTCTAACGCAACATGATGCTGTCTTAAAAACTCTGGCTATTTTGAACTGGTTTAAAAATAAGGGCCTATACGGTAAATTACTCTAGTGACTCACCATTTAGCTGTGGAAAAACGATCATACCAAGAGCCAATTTCATCATTTTTTGAATAGCTGATACCTATTAAAAACAAAAATCTTGGTAATAATTAAACATACATTATGCAAGAGCTAAATCTGCCTATTGCAGGTCTTTCTTTAAGCCTGAAATGTTATCCAAATAATTAAGGGTACATTATGGGAGATAAGATAAAGAGATGGCAGTTCTTGCTATAATAGTTAAAAACTAGATAGTGTAAAGGTAATTTGCTGAAAATTTCAGTGAAATTGAAATTTTTGCATAGTCTCGGTTATCATTACTAAAATCATTAATATAAACAGCATAGTCTCGATTATCCACTTTTTTTTATTTAATTATCAATGGCCGTTAGCGGCATATAGGAATCTAATCCAGTCAGCATCGAAGGCTAGCCTTGACATCAAGAGTTTATTATGGTCTGAATAAGTTAATTAATGTCTAATTGATAATTTAGATAACATTTCAGGCCCAAAGAAAAACCTGTAATAAGCAGATTTTGCTCTTGCATAATGCATGTTTAATTAACTTATCCAGACCACAATCAACTCTCGATGGCATCGGATTTCTCCGATATTAAATAGATTAGAACAGTTCAGCCATATTTTGATTTAAGCAAAAAATGGTGGAGCGAGACTTAGCTTCGAACAACCAGTACGGTTGTTGAAATTATTGCACGCGTCTTGTTAAATCTTCAAAGGCTAATATCTTCGCTGGTGATAGAGTAATTTGAATGAAATTTTCAAATTATTCATTTTACATTATCTATTTTCGAACTATTATAGCAAGAATGGCTAGCTCTTTATCTAAATATCACATAATATGTCTTTAAATTCCTTCTTGGCATTATTCTGGCCATTAAATAAACCCCCAAGCTAAAAATATGATATTTCAAAGAATGGATGAAAATTAAACAATAGGCCTAATAAGGTGGTCACCAACAATCTATATCTTTACCAAACTTTGATGGGTCATGACCAAGATCAAAGCCAGTTTGTGTTGATGTTGCTAACTTCAAATCAATAACTTTGATCATACTTTAGATTTTTATATAAAAGAAGTCCCGGTTGTAAAAGGAAAGTATCTTTAACGAAGCTTATGCATGTCTCTAGGTTTATGCATTATCACATTCTTAACCACCCCTTTTCCATAATGTAAAATACTCACACGGACATTTCCAATATTAGATTTAAGCACTTTAAGTTCCAATCTACAAAATAAATATAAACATTTCAAGTGTAACAAGTTTGTTCTTTGAACAGTCAGGAAAACTGCACAAAAAAGAAAGGAGACAAAGAAATCGCCCATAAGCGTTAACCGCCCAGTTAGTAGTACCACCAGTGTGTAAGTCGTGGGGCGACAGACTGTACAAATTTATGTTCTGTCAACTCTCACAAAACAGAATTGGCAGGTAGGTCTCGAAATTCTGTTCCATTTCCGATCTTCTCGTTCACAAGAATTTGCTCCCACCAATGAACCCAAATGGCAGGAAATTGGGATCTGTGGTCTTATACTATCTCATCACTATCATATTCATGGTAGTGAACCACCCAGGTAGTAATACCACTAGTGAGCGGGTCATGGGGCGATAGACTGTGCAAACGTTTTGCCAACTTTCACAAAACAGGCAGAATTGACAGGTAGATCTCGAGATTCTGTTCCATGCGGCAAGCAATGACCTTAAATGCCAGGAAAATGACTCATAGTTACAAATCTGCTTTCCGACGAGATAACGATCAGCAAACAGCTATAAAGGCAATACGATCTATGTTGACATTCATTGTGGGGTGGGATAGCGCCCTAGATTCCCACCCCCCTCCCCAATACATATATAGTTTCTAGATCCGCTACTGTATGTAATGGCAACTGTTATCCATTCAGATCACTGCAGTATAGTCTCAATTTACTATTTATTTTCTGAGCTTTCCTATCTCCAATATGGAACTGAGTGGCCAAATTTATGGAAGCAGTAATAAACCAGCAAACTTTATAGATAGTAAAATGTACATAAATAACATTAAAGAGATCATAATAAACTACCACTTACAATGGGTTAGATATTTTAGCATAAAGAAGTTGACCTTTTAATGAAGCTTGTGCTGTAAATCCTAGTGTCTGAAATTTAAATGAAAAAATAAATTACTTACATACCGGTACTAAACGTCGCCCAAGTAAATAAGTAGCTGTTTTTCATATAAAGTACTCCGTGTTCGAACCCGATCAGTGATGTAGGACTGAGGATCTGGCAAACAACAACGTATAGTCGTTCGGGTGGGACGAAAGGCTGAGGTCCTGTGTAGAACAACCACTGATATTTGGAATTCGAAATAGGCCGGTAATGCTGCTGTCCGCGCAAAACTTCCCTCTTATCACACTGTGTGGCGTGCCCAGGCGGTGCAGAACGTTAAACCCATTTCATTTCCACAAGAATGTGTTATATTTTTATAATTATGACCTAGTTTAAAATACACCTAAACATACAGATACACAAGGGTGGCAACTCCCATAACATGTTGAGGCATTAAAATGTTATAGAATTACTTTTGATAAATTATATGAAAGGAGTATCTATCACATTTATATAAAAGGTCTACCTACCACCTTCAGAGTAAGAATTAAAATATCAGCCCTGTCCTTTTTCTGGGCATAAATATTAACAGTTCCTGAACCATTTACTTTCAATGAACCATCGCCTATTGATAATACTGGTGCTTTTGTTCCAATCATATTTAACTTTAGTTGACAATTCGGATACTTTTTACCAATCTAGAAAATTAAGGTTTATAAAAAGCATTTAAGTTTGTAGGAATTTGAATACACACAAACTAGGAAATATTATTTACTATTTAAAGTACTTATATTCAAGACAAAAAATCTCCAACTATCCACATTAACCAGCGGCTGCCAGGTACGATACGCCCACATTTTGCAAGAGATGGATAGCGAACAAGCTAAAAACAAACAGGATTGTTTGTACAATCAGGGGCAATAATCCAGAAAGTTATGGCCTGAAATGCGCAAATATCAAAAGGGTCTGAGATCTTTTGGATATAAAGATGTGTTTTAAGTTTCATCAAAATCGGATAAAAATTGTGACCTCTAGAAGATCCACAACCTTCGTATTTCATATTTTTACACAATTTGCGTACAAAGAGCAGACATTTTGTCGGGCTGTTTTATTTCGATTTTCCAGAAATTTGAATTCAACATTCATTATGGTGGAATGGTGATATATCTAAACGGTTTTTGAAATCTGAACTCAATCAAAATTACGGTGTAACAATAATATATTCGAACGTTTTTTTTTTAAATCGGCTAATAATTGTGACCTCTAGACGGATCACAAGCTAAAAACGTGATTTTTCGTGCACTCAGGGGCCATAATTGGGGAAGTTAAGGTCCGATATGCGCGAATATCGAAAGGAACCAATATCTTTGGGTTATAAACTTATATTTCAAGTTTCAACAAAATTGCATAAAAATTGTGACCTCTAAAGAGTCCACAACCTTGATATATCATATTTTTACGCTATTTGAGTACGAGGGCCGGATATTTTGTTTGTCAGTTTTGGTCCGATTTTTACGAAATTCAAACTCAACCATCGTTAGGCTGTAACGGTGATATATTCAAACGGTTCCTTAAATCGGATAAAAATTATGACCTCTATAGGGTCCACAAGCTAAAGCTGATTTTTTTCGTACAATCAGGGGCCATAATTAAGGAAGTTACGGTCAGATATGTGCGAATATCGAAAGGAACCGAGATCTTTGGGTTATAAACTTACATTTCAAGTTTCATCAACATCAGAAGAAAATTGTGACCTCTAGAGAGTCCACAACCTTGATATATCATATTTTTACGCTATTTGAGTACGAGGGGCGGCCATTTTATCTGTCAGTTTTTGTCCGATTTTTACGAAATTCAAACTCAACCATCGTTAGGGTGTAACGGTGATATATTCAAACGGTTCCTTAAACTGGATAAAAATTATGACCTCTATAGGGTCCACAAGCTAAAGCCGCGATTTTGCGTACAATCAGGGGCCATAATTCAGGAAGTTACGGTCCGATATGCGCGAATATCGAAAAACCGATATCTTTGGGTTATAAACTTACATTTCAAGTTTCAACAAAATCGGATAAAAATTGTGACCTTTATAGGATCCACAAGCTAAAAACGTGATTTTTCATACAATCAGGGGCCATAATCAATGAAGTTACGGTCCGATACATGCCAATATCAACAGGAACCGAGATCTCCAGGAGATAAACCTATATTTCCAGTTTCGTTGAAATCGGATAAAAATTGTGACCCGTAGAGTGTCCACAAACAATTGTGGACGGACGGACGGACACAAGGTTGGTCCACAACCTTGTATTACATGCGTTGCCGCCATATTTATGTATAAACGGGGTGTGCATTTTTAATGTGAAGTTACGATCCGATTTCTACCAAAATCGATATTTTGTATAACAAACACCAAAATGTGACACTAGAGGGGCCACCAGCTATGGAAGTGATTGTCGTGCAATAAGGGGCAATAATTCGAGATTACAAGCCAACAGTGAGGCTGATGTCCCCCGCCGAAATAGGAAAATAATTAGAGGACACATATAAATTTATCACAAATTATCTTTTACAAAGTATTGAACAATCAAACAGTATATCTTTACTTATAGTCTAACAATCAAAGTAGGAGAGTTATTGTTTTCCAAAGTCTCGACCAATCAAATTGCGTATCGCTCTGCTTACCCTGAGCAGAAAATGCTCATTATCAAACTTAGTCAAGGTATTACTGTAATGAAACTATACACCAAGTTTCATCAATCTCACTTAATTAGAACTAAAGTTATCGTGTCCCAAAGCATCAACCAATCAAATTGCTTATCTCTGCTTACCCTAAGCGGAAAATGCTCATCTTCGAACTCCATCAAGGCATTGACCTAATCAACACATACACCAAGTTTGAACATTCTAGCTCAATTAGGAAGAGAGTTATCGTGCCCCAAAGTATCAACCAATCAAATTGCTTATCTCTGCTTACCCTAAGCGGAAAATGCTCATCTTCGAACTCCATCAAGGCATTGACCTAATAAACACATACACCAAGTTTGAACATTCTAGCTCAATTAAAAGTTATCGTGTCCCAAAGCATCAACCAATCAAATTGCTTATCTCTGCTTACCCTAAGCGGAAAATGCTCATCTTCGAACTCCATCAAGGCATTGACCTAATCAACACATACACCAAGTTTGAACATTCTAGCCCAATTAGGAAGAGAGTTATCGTGTCCCAAAGCATCAACCAATCAAATTGCTTATCTCTGCTTACCCTAAGCGGAAAATGCTCATCTTCGAACTCCATCAAGGCATTGACCTAATAAACACATACACCAAGTTTGAACATTCTAGCTCAATTAGGAAGAGAGTTATTGTGTCCCAAAAAGTGTGACGGACAGACAGACGGACGGACAGACAGACGGACGGACAGACAGACAGACAGACAGACAGACAGACAGACAGACAGACAGACAGACAGACAGACAGACAGACAGACGGACGAACCCATTTTAATAGTCCCCTGCTTTCTTTGAAAGGCGGGGGACAAAAATCACAAAAATTGTGATCTTTGCAATCTCTAGAGGGTGTCCATAAAAATGTGAAGGGACGCCCGACTTCATAAGGCGGCCACATGAAAACATGGGCATTTAAATATGCTTATTGGCCATCTGACTTATTTTGTCCTTAAATAAACTACACTTCATATCCCTTAAATACTAAACGTAAGAAACATGAACTGTTTATATCCTCCATGTTCAAATATAGGTTAATTTGAACTAGAATACTTACCGGGGGTACGAGTTTACCTATACATTTAGATCCCCTACAGGTTGTATTTAATTTTGATTGGTTTTCTGGTGGTAACTGAAAATACAATACAATTTTAACAAGGATTTATCAACGTCACGTTCCATGATAGTACTGAAGAGTTGTGGAAGAAGCTAATTACCTTAAAGGAGCTAAACCTAACTCTATAATATTATCAACAATATTCGAAATTATAAGCACGAATTAGAATTTAGTATTGGTCCATTTCAATCAATATTGATGTTGTTATTTTCTAGTGAAAATATCTGATCCTAATATCCAACATTTAAGACACGGTGAGCATTTTAAAATCAGTATACGAGTCGTGTACGCTATATTTTTGGGCGCCATTTGTAATGAATAAAGCAAACCATATACTACAAGACAATGCAGAAGAAATTAGTTATGACCGATTCACAAACGACAAAATAATAATAACAAACCCTTTTTAGAATGGCCGTAGCAGGCGAAAACGACCGCCATTCAATTTGGACTTTTCAAGTATTTCACCGAACATAATCGATTAGAAATTACAATTGATCTTTTACAAATTCAAATTACATTAATATGTGCCTTTACACCCATTTTCATCTACATGTATTTAAGGTTTCAAAGAATAGAGCTATACGATACGTCCTTTAATAACACATAGATAGAATTAAACCAGCCAGGGTTTAGACACGTTACTTAAAGATACATTATGGAAGATTAAATCGAGAGCTGACAGGTTTCGCTATAATAGATAAACATACATTATGCAAGAGCTAAATCTGTATATTGCAGGTCTTTCTTTAGGCCTGAAATGTTATCTAAATTATTAATTAGACATTAATTAACCTATCCAGACCATAATCAACTCTAGATAGTATGGCTAGCCTGTGATCTGTAGTGGATTATGAGCCGATTTACTGCATAACTTTCCATCGCGATTTAACGATTAAGTGGATAATCAAGACTATGTTGTTTATCGTACTGACTTTAGTAATGATGAACGAGGCTAGGCAGAAATTTCATTCGTTTAGTTCTGGGTTCATAGTGGATCAATTTGAATGAAATTTTCAGCAAATTGCCTTTACGTTATCTAGTTTTTAACTATCATAATAAGAACTGTCAACTCGTTATCGAATCCCTCATAATGTATCTTTAAATAATAGATACAGTAACGGGAATATTCCGAAAATTTCAGTCAAATTACTTCATTCTAAGCCGAGAAATAATTATTTTAAAAACCTTGTAGCCTCAATTGTCATTGTTGACGAAAATAATTGAAGAGCTTAGGACTAGAGTCGCGGCGAGGGGGCATAACTCTAACTTACCTTATTCGCAATCTTTAAGTGGCATTTAGCGATCGGAAACACATTAACAGAACACAGTTTTTATGGGATACAATCACTAGTTTTATTCTAAAAGCACGACGTTTCAACAAGTATCCTTTTATCGTTATTGTGCTTGATAACGATAAGAGGATACTTGTCGAAACGTCGTGCTTTTAGAATAAAACTAGTGATTGTATCCCATAAAAACTGTGTTCTGTTATCTTATTCGCAATGAATTGCTTACTCATTTGATGAACTGGCGATTTGAATCGGGCTCAGACTTTGTGAAGACTTGGTACTCGACTCGACATGGTCAGCGACTTGGGACTCGTCTCGGACTTAAGGGCCGGCGACTTGGGATTCGACTCTGAGTCTAGGTCCTGCGATTTGTTCAAACCTCTGCATGTTACCTTGAAGTTGATAGTGTGTGTACACGCTGCATTAGTCCTCAAGGAGGCAAAACTTAAGCAGCATGTACACTATCAAGTTCTCGGTAATATAGGCCTACTGGTCAACTTTTGGGAAACATGTTGGGCAAAATTTGTCCATTTCACATCTGCCTTTTTGTCTAAAGGTCACAATCCAAAATACTATTGTCTCTAGCACTGGTCACCATATTACAGCGCAATACAGGTATAATCTAAAAAAATTGACTATATGCATTAGACTTACGTCTTGAGATGAAAAATTATATTTAAGGTATCCATGTTTAAGAGCTGTATAACCCATAGAATTAGCCATATAATCAGACAACCATAGGTACACCATCTTGGATTTATCATTATTTTCTGGTATCGGTTCTGGTTGAAATGGTGCTTCTGTTTTATCACCATTCCAAAATATCTCACCCTAAAAATATAAGACATAAGCCAGTAAGAAATATACAGTATAGAATTGGAATGAAATGAAGCTTAACGTACTAATGTTCTGCACCAACCCTGTTGGTGAGGATGAGTATACACCATGTATTATGCTATGAGGGAAGTTTTGACTGATCAGCTGTATTTCTGTCTACCCTGTCTACTCTGTCAAGGATTCTTTTAAATGCAATCCAACATGCACAGGAAACCTTGGTTATGTCTATTTTAAAATGATAAGAAAGGACAGCAAATTTGGCAGACATTAAGTATGACGGGGGATTTGAGTCAAAAGTCAGTGCTATGTTGTTAGTGCTATTACATGTCCAATGTTGCAAATGTTGAATGTAATGTGTAAATTTGACTAAGTCAAAAGTAAAAAATCCTGTAATACTGACAAATACATCGTGTAAAATGACATCTACTTTTTGTCATTAAACATTTCACAATAAGCCGAAGTCCATCTACCCAGAACTTTAAACACTGAACTCTGACATCTTCTCATTTGACACTCGCCCTATGTATTGTACTCTTCGACATATGTCTTGTGTATCGTAACACAGAACAAGTAATGAAATTAGCCAGTATGCAAATTAGTTCACGCGGTACCTATGACTGTCTCTTTTTGGTGCTGTCATCTTTTGCATTATAATGCTATCCTGTTTATAAATTATATAATACCCATCCATGGGCCATTGTTAATTCTTCTCCTTTTATTTGTTGGGCTATTATATTTTGTATTGTATATACTTCTCATGAAGGGAAGGATGGTTAAGTTGTGGCACCTTTCTATGTCCACATTGCTCATGGACTGTCGCACACGTTCACACAAAACCCTGGCGACTTCAGAGTAAAATTCTTCGTAGGAAAGTCTATGAATTCTACGAAAAATCTCTTGTGTTATATGTGGAAGCCGAGATATTTTACATTTCTTTCTTTATGTAGAAAAAAAAATCATGAAATCAACACCCGGTTGCAGGCTCATGCCGGGGGAAATTCCCTGCTTCAAAATTATGTTTTCTTCACGCGAGATGTCACGTGATTAAAAATAGGTACCGTCTGATATTATTTTCATACTGGCTAATTTCATGTCGTGAGTTCTGTGTTACGATGTAAAAGTGAAATGTTGAACGGTACAATACATAGTGCGCGTGTCATATGAGAAGATGTGAGAGTTCAATGTTTAAAGATCTGGGTAGATGGAGTTAGGCGTGTTGTGGAAATTTTGAAATGTCTAATGTGCATGAAATGTTTAATGACAAAACGTAGATGTCAATTTACACGATGTATTTGTCAGTATTACAATATTTTGTTAAATTTAACGTCCTCCAATTTACACATTACATTCAACATTTGCAACAATTGTAGATGTAAAAGCACTAACAACATAGCACTGACTTTTGACTCAAATCCCCCGTCATAATTAAGAAGTCCATTTAGCCTATATGTTTGATAAATATATTAAGAATACCTTATGATGTGTTTCCATATATGAACTTGTAAATGTTGGAGTAGATATCAAGCTGTAATCTAATAAAAACTTCTTAGCTAAAACAACAGTCACTGAAATAAATAAGTACAGGAAAATTGAAACTAAACTAAAGCCTTGATTAGTTGAGACTATGAAATTGAAACAAGTTTATTCCCAAAAGTCTATTTATAGAAACAAAGAAGGCATTACAGAACGAATGGATTCTAACTATATAAAGAAGAACTATTTGATTTTTACCCTGGCCCCATATATGTTTATATCATATTTATTAATACTCTGATGACAGCATTGTCGAAATGGACCCGATTTTAAGCTTCTCTTGCTCTACAATAGCCAACCCGAACCCGAACCTTAGCTGGATATAGCTCACCACCTGTTTAATAAACAATATTATATTCAGAATATCTGAATGGGATGAGGCAATAGGCGGGCCTATGTGAAAAGCCCGTTCGATCACTTGCTTGTTCCTACCCCAGATCATGAAAAGCGGGCATACCTGGTAATTTTTGTAACTCCTTTTCTCCGTCAACGTTAACGGCCTCTTTGACAATTTGGATTAGCTAAAATTACAAAATGAATTAATTAATGGACTATTCTTACGTAGCAGGCAGACAAGCGCAAACAGATCCATATTCCGCTTAGTACCCACATTGTCCACAATTACCGACTGAACTCCTGATTTGCTTAAATATTGATGTGAGGTTTATAACATTACCTTTTCTTGTAGGATTCCTTTGATCTTTCGCTCTATGGTACCTGAGAAGAGATTATAAATCCATGATAGTCCACCACGAAACTTAACACGTACACTGCCGATACTACAACTACCTCCTGTTGCTGTTAATTTTGGTCGACCGTTAGAATCTTTTCCTACGATAACAGAAAATAGAATTGAAAATTAGTGGATTAATAATACTGTAAATGACCGTATATGATTCTGAGAACACAACCACATTACTAGGTTGTCGTGCAAGATACGCCTACTATCTCCCAACAGATGGACTGTGAGACATGGAACATCGACAGGGCACATCCCCTCATTGTGTCATTGCTTCACATCAAATTAGAAAAAACAATTATAGTCTTTAATGAGTTCACAAGGTTTTCAGAAAAAGTGGCATAATTCTGGAAAGAAAGGTCGCGACACGCTGAATATCGATAGACTTTGTCATCTCTTGATTCCAATGTTTCACATCAAATTCGAAAAAAACAACATGTTAACAATGTAGCCTTGGCAAAGGGGAGGAAATCCGGAGCACAAGCAGTTTCGGTCTGATGCACATCAAAATTGAGCTCATCCAAGATATTTTGATATCAGTTACCACTACAGTGTATCTGCTTAATGGGACGGGGCAATTTTAACGGGAAGTTACGACCCAAGGGCAGCCAGTATCGACCCCATCCATGATCTTTTTGTAATAACATTTATCATCAAAATCTAACAAAAAAGGGACTTCTAGGGTGTCCACAAGCTAATGTTGCTGATTTTAGTCAAATCAGGGGCCATAATCCAGGAAGTTACGGTCCAACATGTGCCAAAATGCGAGATGTTTGGGATAAAAATCGGATAAATGTGACCACTAGAGTATACACAAAAAATGTAAACGGTCGTCAGGACTTTCCAAACGGGCGGACAGAGACAACGATATAAGATGTCCACACCAAAGTGTGGGCCTTTATAAATACCAGCCATATTGCTACATGCACTACTATCATTTAGTTTTATCATTACAAACTACACCATGCTCATTAAGCACTACACTTGTTTTTATTCCGCAATCATCTTGAACACACACAGAGTCTGGTCAAACTTTTTTGTTGGATTGCTGTTGGAAAGTACCTAAATCTGCACCTTTGCCCTCTACAATAACCAGGAAACAACCTTACCAACATTTATTATAATAGAAAAGGAGATTCCATTCGCAGAAACATGAAACCGTCCATGGTCAGATATTTTAAACCTGAAAAAAAAAATCACATATTTTTACCATTACCGACAGTTAGAATTACGAATCAAATAATATATTTATCTATTCAGATAAATATTGCGAACTATCTCAACGTGAGCCAACATATCTAAATGAAGAGTGAAATGCCACATTAATAGCTGGGTGTTATCGTCCGTTTAAAATGGTATTGCAGACCGATTTTTCCCAGTTATGATTGTGAGGCCAAGTGTTTTATTAGATTTCGGGCACTTTATTTTGTTAATTCGGTACAAATTCGCGACACTCAATAAACAAAAAAGTAAAATTAGAGTTTTATTAGACTTGGGACACTTTATTTTGCCAACTAAACTATTTCATATTTTCCACAGATTGCCCAAAAGTTAGTGTTTGGAGGTGGAGGTGGGGGAACAGCTACCCCCCCCCCCCCAAACCCCTGGCTCATACACCTATGCAGGAACCCTTTCTCTCAGCTGGCTATATGTTTAACAAAATGCCTCCGAGTCACCCTTTTCCAAAAAAATAACAGTTTTGAACGGACGTATAAGGAAACGAAAAATCATCACAAGGGCGATTCCGTTTTAAGCTGGACTTGAATTATCAGTTCGTTTAGTCGTAAAGACATTGGAGAAACCGTAGGGACTTACATAGTAGCATACCCACAGTTTCGGAGCGGGGATTTGGTGGTCCCATTAATTACCCCAATAACTGTACCCGTTCAAGCAGATCCGATCTTGTGCATAACACATGCCTTTAGACTACAGTGGGCTATCGTCCGTAAATATCATTTTGTGACAATGATAATGGAAACAGATCTTCAACAATTACACAGTTGAATGGTCAATCTTACTCTGAATATCTCCATGATTCAAATATTTCATCCCCGTATACCAATCTACACATATAATTATGTACATAGCATAACTAATTAGCATAAAATTGCAGTCTATGCAAATTACTGTTGCCGAGAAATAAACCTTTAAGGGAGCCAGTAACCCCACAGAATGCTTTGTTTCCTAAAACAAGAGAAGCGAATTATAAGTCAGAAAGTGGTCACCAGAACAATGTCGAAAGACAAACAAATCACATTACTTATAACAACATAATATGTCTACCAAAAACTTCTTACCATCCTCTTTTATACCTATACCGCCAGTTACCATTCATCGCTACACCAGCACCAGTTACACTCCATTTTAAACCTTGATTTGGAACAGGAGTTATACCACCAGATGGTTTAGTAAAACTTGTGATAGTCATACTGTAAATATACATATATAATAATTATAAAACGAATTAGAGCTGTGGGGATGAAAATGATATGATTCAAAATTGATCACTTGGTGTAAGTGATAATGCCCCTATAATTAATGTGCCAACCATTTTTCAAGTATCATATTGGGTTGATTTAATGCTTCATTTCGATTAGTGATTATGATTAAATTGCCATATTGAATGATTAAGTGAAAGTCGGCTTACTAATTTTATATCTTTTCGACAATAGAAAATAAAATTGCAGTTTCCTGTATTTATTATTTAAAGAGAATTTTAAAACAATACAGATTTCAAGAGTCCTGTGTATTTTAAAAAACGATCACACAACGTGAAGTTAAGAATAATGAAATCCGGGGTGTCACATTCTTTATTAGGAAGCATGTGACCAGGATTGGCTTACAATCCATATTTGGCAAACGTCTCTGGGTTAGCGTGATGGTATAGTGTCACATACTATTTCTACCTTTCTTTTCTTTTAATATACTGTACCTTAGATATTATAACCTGCGCAATCCAGTTACTATCCTTCAAAATAACTATAATCATATTTACCTTGTCATTTGATAGGTAATACGCTTTGCTGTACCAGATTGATCTGGGACTTTCATACCTGTTATTTTTCCAGACAGAGCATTAATAGCTTCATTTGCAGCTGTAACGAAAGGGTAATTTAAACATACATTATGCAAGAATTACATCTGCATATTGCAGCTCATTCTTTTGGCCTGAAATATCATCTGACCAGACCATAATCAACTCTTGATTTGAATACATTTTGTGGTGGATAAATGGATAATCGAGACTTTGTTTATTATTATCGTACCAACGTTAGTAATGACGATCGAGGCTAGTCTAAAATTGAATCCCTTATATCTCGTTTCAGAATAAAGCACTTTGGCTGAAATTTTCAGCTTATTCTGTTTTCATTATCTACTTTTTAACTATTATAGCGATAACTGTCAACTCTTTATCTAATCTTACCTTATGCCCCTTTAATGTAATTTAATGTCTTTCGACCAACTCTGTAGATTTACATTTCATTACATACATGTATCGAATCTGTCGTACTTAATTAAATTCATATGGCACTAATAATATTGTCATAATTTCAGATAAAATACAGTTACGTCATTGGCCTGTAAGAAACTTGCAGCCCTTTTAAATTAATGTTAAACCAGGATAAAACGGTCTTCCGTTAAACGTGTTTCTTTTAATTTGAACTCGCGATTCTGCACCCTGTGTCCCCCTTTTGCAGTCCTCCGCATCAAAAATCAACACTTTTATTTTATAAACTATTTTTTAGTCAGATTTGTAACTGATTGGGCACATGCATAGTCTACATTACACGTCCTATTTCCCTGTCAAATATAGGTACCTGTATATATTTTATAAATAATAAACAATGAACAAGTTAAGATATCAGTACATGATTAAGTGTGTGCTTCGTTTGCCCATATTTTGAGCTGGTGTTATAATTGTCCATTGAACATCCTGGCGGTTCGAAATACGAGTGGACAGTTTTAAAGTAACCAGTATAAGGCCTTAGCTACGAGAACGTAGCTAAAAACGTTGAAACATGCTGATGTGCTTGTTTTTAGCTACGATTGGGTGCCTTTAGTTTCACCTGGCAAACTTAATTTCTCTATTAATGCATGTAACATCTTAAAAATAAGTTAATTTTATAATATTAGAGCTTATTACACATACGTAGCCCAATCAATTAAACAACTTTTATTTATCAGCAAATATTGATATACATTGATATTTGGGTAGATTGGTTTTACGGAGAGTGTGCCCTTTTCAAGATTAAATCATGGAGATAAGATGGAAAAAGACCGTTTCTAATTTTATGAATAAATTTGAGTTTATGTCTTCTACAACTCTCTTTTAGCACAATAAAGAACGGATTTCTTCGTATAGAAGTCTGTGGCTGGTATCCCTTACAACGCCACACTTGGACCTAATTGCGCCCAGTTGTAGGTGCTGTAATTTGTCAAACTGATCGACAGTGCTATTCCTTATGCAGTTTCGTTGAAAAATTAAGTCTGAATGTTTGTGGACAGAGAGATCCTTGATAGGAGCGCTGTTTAGTAGGTAAGAATATAAGGTAAACTTATAGAAATTTGCTTAGTTGTCAGTACTAGTTCCCCAGTCTTGCGCACGTTTTAGCCCATGAGTTGACGTTTACCAGGTCATTGTTGTAGTATTTTCACATTGGGTTGGGTCATCAATTTTCAGATAAAGGGAAGTATCATCAGCAAAGCATCGAACATTTGATGTAATAAATGTCATGTATATAAATGATCAAAAGAACCATTGTGGAACCATTGTAGAACCATTGAAGGATGTCTCCTCTTATCCCCTTATGTAACATTTTCTGTAATTGTGGCCTGGAAACCGGTGTTTTCCTTTATCAAAATTATATCAGCCGACTTTGTGACTCTGTGGTCATTTATTTTCTTTTTAAATTGTTAAATTACAATACCTCCTGGTCGATCATCATCACCCCTTCAGCCCCACCTAAAATCATATTTATATATAACATACCGTAGGCCAATGCCTTTTCTGTAATTCTGGTCTGAAATCCTGGGTTATGCGGGACAGTAGCGCCATTGGTGGAAGCAGAAGCATCTACGACTGTAAACACAATTACGGCAAATAATACAGTCTGTACAGCAGCTGTTGAATGTGGAAACTTTCCCATCATTTCTGACTGATATTGCGTTCTTTCTTGCCTTTCTCTTTTCGTTCACGGTTTTCAAATAAAACGCATAGACAGGTCTTCAAATAAACAAGCTTATATATTCTTATCTACATATAATTAGCATATTTCCAACGACCAGGACTTCCTTGTTAAAACGTATTCTTTCGCGCGAAGGCGGATATAAAACTGCAACATATATCAGAACAAAAAAAAACGATCTTTATAATTACGAAACATGACAGTGAAAAATACTTGAATATACCAGATATGGTACAGAAGCGTATAAGTATGGTGGCTGAAAGCGTCCATTTAGATCGGCGGGTTTCTAGATACAACGCGAGAGTCGCCGTTAAGCCAGCACGACGAAAAAGGCGCCGATCGGCGACTTTTTCGTCGTACTACCTTATCGGCGACCCGCGACTTTCACAATACGAGAGTCGCCCTTAAGCCACGCGCCGAAAAAGTCGCCGAAAAAATCGGCGCCTTTTTCGGCGACTTGCTTAACGGCGACTCTCGCCTCGGAAGTTTATAGTTAGTTACATGCGCAATGGCTACATTTTACACACACAGATCAACAAATATTTCTACGCCGTAATGTAGGGCGAAAGTTATTTTTAGTCTTTCTCTCCCTTTCCCTTTTCCCCCTTTTGAATGGCGATTTTTGGTGTAGAATCGAAGAAAGGGGTTTGATAATACATTTTCTGCCGGTTTTGGTGAATATTCATGATTTTGAGAGGTCGGTTAGGTTGAAATGTAGGGCCGAAAATTGCATGTTTATTTGGCAAACCTCATACATGCTTTTGTGCAAGAGTTTGCCACATGTTGCTCCATCTGTGGCAGAAAGTAGGCTAGCCTACAAGTCCTAACTCATCCAAAAGCTCCTCCATTTTATATACAAGAAGTAAAATGTAGCCATTGCGCATGTAACTAACTATAAACTTCCGAGGCGAGAGTCGCCGTTAAGCAAGTCGCCGAAAAAGGCGCCGATTTTTTCGGCGACTTTTTCGGCGCGTGGCTTAACGGCGACTCTCGTGTTGTGAAAGTCGCGGGTCGCCGATAAGGTAGTACGACGAAAAAGTCGCCGATCGGCGCCTTTTTCGTCGTGCTGGCTTAACGGCGACTCTCGCGTTGTATCTAGAAACCCGCCGATCTAAATGGACGCTTTCAGCCACCATATATAAGGGTCATGCAATATTTTGTAGAACACATCGAGATCGTGCGATCCTGTGATACTTTCTCGAGAACTCAATTTAATGTTCTCGAAAGCCTCTAATAATTTTCTCGAGAATCTCCCATCCCGTGTTAAATAAAGATCTCGAGAATTTGAGTTAATGTTCTCGGGATCGTGCCATCCTGTGTAAATTTTCTCGAGTTCTCGTGTATTTTTATGTGTGCGCGTAGTTTTAACGTTTTCTCAGCGTCCCACAACCTATCGTTTCGGAGTTTACCCCCCCCCCCCCCCATACACACACACACTTTCCCGAAAAACTTAATAGCACGATAGAGCCTACAGTTTTTAACGGATTTGTTTCAAATTTTGTGTTATTAACGGATTTTCGATATTCAGTGTTCCGCGACAAGGATAACCCCTGTTAATTTTCAGCAATATAAGATTTCGGTCACAGAGATTAGATTTCTTGAAGAATGCTAGATCCTTAGTCAATTTATTAAACAACCCAGTTTTCCTTTCGAATAATCTGCTGTTCAAGCATAAATGCTGCGTTGGCGTATCTCCACACTTTGCGTGACTATCGTTCACATTTCTTTTGAATCATTAGTGTCACAAGCAGAGGAACCCTATTTATTTTCGGCGTAACAATGAACCTTATTGATTTGCAGCGCTCCCTGAGGTTTTCTTATGGCATTATTCCTATTTTCCGGTTAACCTTGTGAACGCGTTAGAGCCCAGAGTTTTTCAAGATTTTTTATTTAAAATCTGCTCCGAAGCATTTGTGCCACAAGACAATAAACTCCCTGTCTAGCTTTATTCTAAAACAAAATATGGTCCGAAACTCTGCAAAAAATGACATTTTTAATTAAACTTCGCCCACACATTAAATTGAAATAATTTAAAGATACATTATGGGAGATGAGATAACGAGTTGGCAGTTCTCACTATAAAAGTTAAAAACTACATAATGTAAAGGCAACTTGCTGAAAATTTCAGTCAAATTGATCCACTATGAGCCGAGAACCAAGCGGATGAAAGTTCCGCTTAGCCTCGATCATCATTACTGAAGTTGATAAGACAAAACTAATAGTCTTGATTATCCATTTAATCGTTAATCACGAAGGAAAGTTTTGCAGCAAATCGGACTGCAATCCAACAAATATCGCAGGAAATCCTTGACATCGAGAGCTGATTATGGTCTGGATAAGTTAATTAATGTCTAATTAATAGTTTTTATAACATTTCAGGCCTAAAAAAAGACCTGAAATAGGCCGATTTTGCTCTGGCATAATGTATGTTTAACAAGAATGTCTGTAATTCAAAGCTTCACACTTTAAAGCTAACGTGGTAGGGTTTTGAATTTCATATTTGGTGTGAAGTATTGGGGCCATAAGACGATGAACCCTATCGATTTTAATCATATTTCAAATTTAGTGTAAATCATGGGTACCCTATCGATTGTCCGTTTATTCTTTCATTAGTTAGCAGTTTTCCTTTGTAACAAATGTTAGAATACTTTATTTTTATCAAATTTGGTGCGAAGTATTGGGACAATGGTTGCTTCACAACGTGGAGACACTATCATATAAGGTTTCATATTAACTCGGGATCTCGAGAAAATTTACATAGGATGTCAATATCTCGAGAACATTAACTCGAATTCTCGATAGGGTACCCATGATTTACACTAAATTTGAAATATGATTATGACACTAATGATTCAAAAGAAATTTGAACGATAGCCACGCAAAATGTGGAGGAGATACGCCCACGCAGCATCTATGCCTCAACAGCAGATTATTCGAAAAGAAAACTTGGTTGTTTAATAAACTGAATAAGGATCTAGCATTCATCAAGAAATCTAATCTCTATCGTGTTCACGTGCTTGTTATATCTCTGGGATAGAAAAGGCTATATTGCTGAAAATTAACAGGTCATCCTTGTCGCGGAACACGGAATATTGAAAATCCGTTAAAAACAAGGTTTTCAAAGAATGGAGAGTATAACTCCGGAACGAAAGATCGCTTCCCATTGAATATCAATAAAGTTCATGACTCCAAAGCTTCACACAAAATTTTAAAAGTGAAGCCTCTATGGCGTGAACAAGGCTTTCAGGGAGCGGGCGGGGGAGAGGGTATATTTAGGAACAGAAGGTCACAGAATGTTGAATATCGATAGGGTTCGTCCTCTCATCGTCACATATTTTTTAAGAAATACAAAGAAGGTAACCCTGGAACAGAAGTTTGAGGAGTACTGAAAATCGAAAGGTCCTAGTGCTTCACACCACATTTGAAAAACAAAATCAGTTAAAAACTGTAGCCTCTATTGCGTTAACAAGTTTTTCGGATAGGGGGAATAACTCCAGAACGATAAGTGGCGCTAGAAGCGACAGGGACCGTCCTCTCATGGCCCCGATGCTTTACACTAAATTTGAAACAAATCCATTAAAACCTGTAGGATCGGTGGCGCTATTAAGGTTTTCGGGAAAGTGTGTATGTGTGTGTGTGGGGGGGGGGGGGGGGTGGCGGGGGACTCCGAAACGACAGATTGTGGGGCGCTGAAAATACGTTAAAACTACGCGTACACATAAAAATACCCGAGATCTCGAGAACATTTACACAGGATGGCAAGATCCCGAGAACATTAAATCAATTTCTCGAAATCGTTAACACAGGATGGGAGATTCTCGGGAAAATTATTAGGGGATTTCGAGAACATTAAATTGAGATCTCGAGAAAGTATCACAGGATCGCAGGATCTCGAGGTCTTCTACAAAATTTTGCATGACCCCTATACGCTTCCGTTATACGCTTCCATAGTTTTTATTTAAAATTTCTCCTTTGTTTTCACGCCATTTGATTTTAAGTTTGTAAACAAGGTGAAAAAAACCCCATAAATTAAAAGGAATTCAGCCACTCAGATGGTACGTCAATCAAATATGACACACCAGGAAGCTGTTGTTTGTCGGAAAACATTGTACGTTAGTATGATACGAATATTATATCACAAGGGGTCACCATGACCAAAAAGAAACATTGACGAACAGAATTAATAATGTCGTACAAGGTCCACCCCAATAATGGAGCGGCGCGTCGAATTACCCAATAACACCCAATAACTGCCCAATAACACCAATAACTGCCCAATAACACCCAATAACTCCAAAATAACAACCAATAACTACAAAATGTTGACTTTGGAAACACAAAATAACAATTTAGTTGAATTTAAGAAGCATCGCTGCTTTGTGTCCAAATCGGAGTTTCACGCTCACTCGCCTGAAGGGACATAACTCGTATATGTGATTTTTGTTGACAAGAAATTAATAACACCCAATAACTGTCCAATAACTGCTTAATAACACCAAATTGTTGACTTTGGAAATACAAAATAACAATTTAGTTGAATTTAAAAGCCTCGCAACGTTGAGCCCAAATCAGAGTTTTACGCTCACTCGCCTGAAGGGAGATAACTGGTGTATGTGATTTTTGTTTACAAGAAATTAATGTATGCTTTCGTTGCATTTCGTTTTAATTATACATGGGCGTCAAATATGGAATAACTATTTCAACCCCTCCATGGGTATCGTCAGGCGGTTGCAATAACAAAACGTTATTACAGATGTCCCCGCTATAGTTTTTCATGAAATTCAAATTAACTTCCAATAATTTAGCGCAAAAATGCGCTACCCGACGACATAACGATTAGTCTGTAAAGAAATTCTACGCACACAGGCGCTACCTGACGAGATAACGAGATACTTGGCTGTTAATTTTAATTCCTTTACAAACCAATGTTTTCTAAAAAAAACATACACATATTTAAAAATGTTTCATATGAAAATATTATAAAGATAATAAAATAATTAGTCTGTAAAGAAATTCTAATTAACTGCCAAATATTCTACGCACAAAGGCGCTACCTGACGAGGTAACGAGATACATGGCGTTTAATTTTAATTCCTTTACAAAACAATATTTTATTAAAACATTTAAACCTGTTTCATATAAAATATTTTATTAAAACTAACATAGCCATTCAATGAGTTTTTTCTACAAGCCCATGTTTCAGGACGGATCTCAGATTTGTGGTCTACAAGTTGCCAATTGTCTGTCCCGTGTAAAGCCCGACGTATGTTAAGAATTTGAAATGTTGACACTCTAGCCAATTTTGTAACAAGGTCAGGTAAATTCTGAATATGCCAATCGGTTTCTTGTTTCAATCTATTATTAATTGATTCTGCGTTGTTATTAGTCCATAAGTTTGAGATCAGTTTATTTTGGAGGGGCTTAATAACATATAATAACAATTTATGTTTTAAATATCTGTCCCAATATTGTTCAAATCTAGGATATTTTTCAAAATAAACAGACAAGTCATCTTTTTTCATTTCAAAATCCATGTCATTTTTCGAATATACAATTCCTTCCTTACCAAAAATTAAATTTCTTATAATTGAGCGTTCTTTTTGTGGTGTTCCCGATTTCTCTAAATATCGATATAAATTTTCCTTAATGTGTTTTGTACAAAGTAAGAAATTAGAATTTTGGAATACTTCATACAAAGATTTAGTCATAGATTTTTCTTTGTCGGTACCAAATATTATTTTATCACTACCTAACTGGGAACGAAGATGTGAAAAGAAATAGTGATAGGTTGGTGCTTCGCCATCCCAATGGAGCATCATGGGGCCAAGCATTATGGGGTTTTGATTCGTTTCGCGATATAAAAATAACTATAGCGGGGATATCTGTAATAACTTTATGTTATTGCCACCGCCTGACGATACCCATGGAGGGGTTGAAATAGTTATTTATAGATTGATGGCCATCTTATATATAATAATAATGCACTAGTTAAAGCGATTTTTGATTTAACGATATGTAATGATATATAAGGATTAAAACGTACACAAAATACTTTGTCGTGAGTATTAATTATGTAGATAGAGGGATGAGGTTTAACGTCCACTATGTCATTTCAATAATTCTCTTGTGTGTGTGTGTGTGTGCGGGGAGGGGGGGGGGGTCTTTACCAGTGTGATGACCCAGAGAGAGCCCACGATTCTGGACAGACGACACTACTTCTTGTCAGGTATAACTGGGGAATCACATACACAAGTTATCTCCCTTCAGGCGAGTGAGCGTGAAACTCCGATTTGAATATCAAAACCAGCATAGTTGGATCTGCAAGACCTACATATGTAGTCTTCACTTGAACATTGAAAAAAATTCAACTGAGTAGTATCTACTTTCTCACAATCTGAATAGCACAAACGTTGACATACTTCACAATATAAGCTTTGAATATCAGCAAGGATACTCAACTCGGGGATTTTTCCTATCATGTATAATTAAAACGAATTGCAACGAAAGCATACATTAATTTCTTGTAAACAAAAATCACATACACGAGTTATCTCCCTTCAGGCGAGTGAGCATAAAACTCTGATTTGGGCTCAACGTTGCAAGGCTTTTAAATTCAACTAAATTGTTATTTTGTATTTCCAAAGTCAACAATTTGGTGTTATTGGGCAGTTATTGGGTGTTATTGAGCAGTTATTGGGTGTTATTAATTTCTTGTCAACAAAAATCACATATACGAGTTATGTCCCTTCAGGCGAGTGAGCGTGAAACTCCGATTTGGACACAAAGCAGCGATGCTTCTTAAATTCAACTAAATTGTTATTTTGTGTTTCCAAAGTCAACATTTTGTAGTTATTGGTTGTTATTTTGGAGTTATTGGGTGTTATTCAGGCGAGTGAGCGTGAAACTCCGATTTGGACACAAAGCAGCGATGCTTCTTAAATTCAACTAAATTGTTATTTTGTGTTTCCAAAGTCAACATTTTGTAGTTATTGGTTGTTATTTTGGAGTTGTTGGGTGTTACTGGGGTGTTATTGGGCCGTTATTGGGTAGTTATTGGGTGTTATTGGGTAATTCGACGCGCCCTAAAGGAGCTAGACACGAAAAGCGGTAATTTTATTCTTTTTGCCATGTAAATTGTTGAAAACTAGTATACTTTCCAAATGCTATTATATTATACATCGGATGGTGGTAGAAAGGTTGTGTGTGTGGATGGGGGTGGAAGGGATATTGCGTGTCGAGAGAATGAGCGTCTGTAATAGCCATATTAGGAAGATCTGCATTTGTGTATTGTGTTGTTTTGGGGGGAGTGGGGGGAGTGGGGGGTTGGGTTTTTTTTGGGGGGGGGGGGCGGTGGAGAGGGTCTTGTGAAGGTGTGTGTGTCTCACTCCCGAGCAAGAAGACGGGCAATCTGACTATTCCGGTATAGTGATAACAAAAATTATTACTTCATCTATTTATTTGGCAATTAGGGTGCCTGAAATCTAATAAAATGCTAAATACCACGAATTTGTATTGAATTGACTATGGATTAAAACATTTTGTGTGGAGCCACTCTACTTTGTGTGACATTTTTCGGGCATCGATTATTTTTGTGAATTCAGCTGCAACAGTCCGATTGGATGGTTGGAATTCAGGATGGCATGTTGCAAAACGATTTGAAACTTTAAAGTTGCTTAACTCACGGTCTAGAATAGCTGAAAAGCGCATTTGCGGCGGTTAAATTTGCTTGGGGAGGACAAGACCCCCATTCCCAACAACGATCGGTGGGTTGTTTGGGATTCTGGTCTGCCACCTAAGGTAGGCCATATTGGACAACATTGAAGATGCTTTATTCAAGGGTTAGCATAGCAGGAAAACACGTTTGGGGCAGTGGACTGTAAACGATTGATTGGTTAGACTATATTAGACCACTTTGAAGTTGCTGTAGTCACGGGCTGGAAGTGGGACAGCCCCCCTTTGCCTCTCGCAGACAAACGACGCCGCCATCTGTAGCCCAAAATTCTTTCGGGAATTTCCAGTTCAGCCCCCCCCCACTCTCCTTAACATTGATCGAGCCAGTACGCCTATGCTTTTAAATCAAAGCATTAAAATCTGACAATGTTTGACATTCTTACAACGGAACTGTTTTGCCATCTTAACGTCATGCAGGTGGGGCTAAATATATGTAGCGCACAATAGCCAATCAAAATGCACGACCTAGACAATGGTAAAATAGCAAGTAGAAAACCTAATATACCGTAATTATGAATGGCGGTTCAAAGATTTTTAAAAACACTGCTTGATTAACTTAACTGTCAATATTTGCTGGTGAAACTGAAGGCGTCCAATCATAGCTAAAACAAATACGTCAGTACATTTAAACGTTTTTACGTTGTTGCGAACTATGTTCATGTTCAGATTTTCAGAACTTAAATCTAATCCCTCAACCAAGTATCGAGGTATATGGTATACCACAGAACCAAAAGGGTCTCGGCGTTAGGGAGAGAGAGCCCCCGCCCCTCTAAAGTACCCCACGTTTGGCAAGACTATCCCCCTTCAGAGGCCCTGGCATGACTTTGTTGCTACCTTTTAGTCCACCAGGAACCTATTTCATGTTCTTACGTAATATAATACACTAATACAAGCTTAAGTAGGCCTATAATATTTATTGTAAATGTTTTAAAAAAGAAAGACATCATAAACAAAGCATATATATAAATTTTAAAAAATACAATGATCATTTTGTATATAGTTCAGCTGTGCAATAAAAATACTGATACCATATTGGTTTTGCATATAGACTAGTAAACCTGTACCATAAAAATACATACCTTACTTACAAAAAATGCATAGTCTGCCCACAAGTTGTGTTCTATGAAAGATTGGCCAATCTTTCTACAATAATATAGACAAAAAAGGTTTTGGCGAACTTAGATTATATTAGGTCCAATTTCATCTGATCCTTGGCAGATTATAAATGATCTTCTGATAAATCAAAGCATTTAGCAAGTTCCTAGTTGCATGAATGAATTAGTTTTAAAAAATAGGCTACTTTATAGATAACTATTGTTATTTCATTTTAATGTACATAGCTTAATCAAACTGGCTAAAAGTTGGCTTTTTCAGCTTACAATAAAAAAAAAACACCTGTAAGTTGTCATATCAAATTGTTTTGACTTTTCTTTAAGTCATGATAGAATGAGTTCAACAGAATATTTGTACTTCTGTTTTAATTAGCCATAAATTTATATAAGTATGTGTAATTGAATTATATAAATATTGATAATTATCATTCATTTTTAATGCAAAAAGCATATAACAATTATAAAACATATCAACTTCTTTGATAGGCAGTTAGGCACATATTAACACAAGGTACAGTTTAGCTAGAATGCTTGATAAAGATGAGACTTTATCATGAGAGTATCATTCTCAAAATGCTGCATATTAATAAATCCAGTTATTCAGTATCCATAAAAACTGTAGGTTGATATTAATTGAACAAATATTTAGTAGAATATATACAAATACCGGTAGTAAAACCAGTATTCTATATGTGATTTTTATGGTGTTATTTTGTAGAATACATTTGAAGATGAAACAGAATATTTAAAATCTATTAATATTCACTATAAAATAGAGTTAGCCATTTACTTAAATAAAATTCTGAATAAAAATGGTTATGCTGAATTTCATTAAATTAAAATACATCTTAAATGTCTTAAAGGTTTTACATAAATAAATCATTTCAAAATAGAGTTACATCCCTTTAGTCTTCAAGCAGACCACAAAGTATATTATACAGCTCTCATTCTTTACAAAGGTTTTGGCATATTCATATTATGTTGAACAACTTGAAATATTGGTTTCTTGTACTGTATGTTGGGATGATTAATGGCATCATGGTCTGTTTGTATCTTGGGTTTATAAATCAGATCAGTAGCTATCATCAAGGAATGCTGGAAGAGATAATAATTTGAATATTATTTGAAAAGTTATCAAGATTATTAAGAATGAAAAAATCAAGCATGTCATGAAATTATTGATTTAGCAATGTTAGAATCTGTCCACTAATTTTGTCTTCCACTATACCTGACGCAAGATAACCTGGATGTTCACTGCACATACCATATGACTAAACTGCATGCTGTTACTTGGGCAATCTACATCATACATCGGGGACAATGTATAGTCCTTCGGGTGGGATGGAAAGCAGAGGTCCTGTGTACACCTTGCTGTGCACATTAAATAAACCTTGGCAGTTGATATTCTATATAAGAGAAGGCTATATTCCACTCTCTGGGAAAAATTTCCCTCATATCACACCGTATGGCTTATGTGTCCCTTCATCAGCCCAGTCGGAGCAGAACAGTAAGATGTTAATCATAAATCAGATATTCCGATTTACTCAAAAACTGAACAATAAAATATTCTAAAGCCCTTAACACTAAACTTTGTATTATCTTTATGAAAAAGTGTTTACCTAAGCAATTTGGATTTCACACCCCTACTGAAAATCCAACTGATTTTATCTGTGGCAGGATGAAATCAATAGAAAGTAATTTATAATCTTTAAGTTGCATTTATACATGATCACTGGATTGTTTACAATCACTGATGAAGAAAATGATGGATGTTACAACAATTATTTGTGGGAATATTTTATCTTGTGAAATCAATTTTAAGTATCCAGCAATAACACAAAGTTTAGTGGCAAGGTTTTCAGAATTTTTTTTTCTATTTTGGAGTAAATCTAAATCTCCAATTTATAAAGCAGATAGACCAGACAGTTTAACCTAAGCTTAGAACAATGTGTACAAAATAATTGTGAATTCTATAATTCAGTTACTGAAAATATTAGTATATGATATGTAAATTACTCTCTGTAGATAACGAAATCCTTATACGGCATTTAGTAACTGAACATATGATATAAAACACAAATTTATATGGAAAACAATCACTGGGTTTATTTCACACTATGTTTCAGTGATTGTTTTCCATATAAATTTGTGTTTTATATCTGTAGATAACGTAATTACTTTCTGTGTGATCAGTTGAGAACTAGTTTTTGTAATTTCTTACTTAATATATAGTTAGATAATGCCATTATTACTTATCTTTAGTACCGTATGATAAATGGAGAATTAGGTAAAATAATTAATACTTACTTTCAATATGATTATTTGATAATTTAATAATGGAATTTCATGTTACTTTCTTTATGATTACTTGGGAAATAGATACTGTAAATTACGTGGATTGGCGAAGTATTCGATTTAGTACGCAAGTTTGGTACCATGATACTTGGCGGAATTTGCATGGATACAGATGATAGAATTGTACGAATCTTCGAGTCGCTGAGCCAAAGCAGATTTGCCGACTTTCAAGAACTTTTAGGCATTCCAATGTCGAAGAAATAAAAGGTTTCAATATTACCGTATTTATATGGAGCAATGTATGTCAAAACCTAAACAATTTAAGAGTGTGTGTGTGTACCTACATGTATGGATATGTGTCATGTGATTGGTCTTTGATAATTGAGAGTGACAGGTTATTTACTGAAGCGACAGGTATGAACAGGTAGCTTTTTTTAAACATTACGAGGCCTGGGCTTAACACTCTGCTTTAAAGGATAAATAAATGACAAGATGCTTTTCCTTGTCAGGTCCTTCATCATGCATAAAACACAAGAGAAAAGCAGGCTGGAAAATCCTATAGAACTGTCTCAGTCAATCCAAGGATCCAACCCAAAATCTCCTGGTTAGTGGCACCAATAGATAAGGTAAAAGCTTACTTAATCTTTAGTAGGATAATGCCATACTTATCCAGTATGATAAATTTGAGAATTATGTAATGTAATTAATACCTACTTTGTGTGTAATAAGTTTATAATTAGATAAAATATTTAATACAAACTCTCTGTGTAATAAATTGATAATTAGATAATGTATTAAATACTTACTTTCTTTGTAATATGATAAGTATAGAATACAAAATGTAATTTTAATTACTTTCTGTGTAATAAGTTGAGAATTAGATAATTAATTTAATTCTAATACTTACTTTCTGTATGATAAGTTGAGAATTAGATAATTGTATATCATCAGTTAGGGGTAATACCAGACCTTTGCTTCCCTGTGCTATAAAACAAGTGATACTGTGATACATTTATTATTTTCAAATATAGAATAAAAGTAAACTCAACTCTGTTCAGAAATGTTATGACAGACATGTAAATATCAGGGGGGGGGGGGGGGGGGGGACTAGTCAGTCTCCAAATAAGTGCAGTCACTGCAGTTGGTCTCAAAATTATGCATCAGCAACTAAATGAGGTAAACAAACAAAGACGAAATAGAAGGGAAAAATCCCAAGTACTTAAAATATGTATGAATATATCTGTGTATACTATGATTAGATATCACAAAACGCGCAAAAGTTTCACATATTTTCTATGTATGGAGGATTTAAGGCGATATTATAAAGGTCAATTATGTCATTTGCAGGTGATTTTCAATATTAGCAAAGAATTTATAAATTATATAAATAACATGAATTCCCATGCGTAGTACTCAATTTTACTCATGTTAAAAATGTTTTCTGACCATCAGGATTCTACAAAATCTTCCCCCAAAGTCCAGGAAATGGCATTTCAGGGACTCTAGATACAAAACTGTACGCCCGTGATGACAGAGGTTTGCATAATTCGAAGGCTGGGATGTTACTGACTCACCATTTAGCTGTGGAAAAACGACCATATCAATAGCCAACTGCATCATTGTTTGTATAGCTGATCCCTATTTAAAAAAAACCAAAAAAACCCCCATAAAATCATGGTAAGGAAAAAATAAATTTCTTATTGTCATTTATATTAATTAAACATCCAACCGAGCTTGTGTTGTGGCTGCATATTTGAAATCAAATAACTATTACCAAATTTTTATGAGAAATACAAATTATTTCGCTCATAATTTAGATTTTGATATAAAAAAAAGAAGTCTCAGTTTTAGGTAAAATTTAAGTATTTTTATCGAAACTTCGCCTTGTCTCTAAGTCTATCCATTATCACAGTGTTCATTGTCTTAGAAATTGTTCTTAAGTATTAATGCACTTTGTAAATGGTAATTATTATTATTATTTCTTGTGAACGTAAACCATCATCTGTCCATAATTTGTACAATACTCACACTGACGTTTCCAATATTCGATTTAAAGACTTCAAGTTTCAATCTACAAAATAAATATAAACATTTTAAGTGTAACAAGTTTCAATCTACAAAATAAATATAAACATTTCAAGTGTAACAAGTTTCAATCTACAAAATAAGATTATTCAACCAACAGCAACTGGTAATTACTGGTACCAGGGCTAACTTTTGGTCAGGAAAACTGCAGAAAAGGGAAGGGAAAAAACCCCAATAACACTGTACTACTACTAATTCCAGTGTTAAAGTAAACCATATTATTCCATAGCAGTATAAATAGCATGCCCCATACATGACACTTTGTCCCTGAGTTGCACTAATGCCTCCAACTAACTTTATCGAATGAAAGTATAGTAAAATGTACATAAATACCATTAAAGTAATCATAATATACTACTATTACTTACAATGGGTTAGATATTTTAGCATAAAGAAGTTGACCTTTTAATGAAGCTTGTGCAGTAAATCCTAGTGTCTGAAATTTAAATGAGATAATTAAATACTTAAATACTGATGGACTATCCCTAAATATACCCAAATGCAGGCAAGTTCATTTTTAAAAATCTAAACAACTTGACCTGGTTTAAAAATGCACCCAAACATACAGATATACAAGGGTGGTAACACCCATAACATTTTGGCATGTAAAAATGTAATAGAGATAATCTTGATAAATTATATGAAAGGAATATCTATCACATTTATATAAAAGTTCTACCTACCACATTCAAAGTAAGAACAAAGATATCGGCTTTGCCTTTTTTCTGGACATAAATATTAACAATTCCTGAACCATTTACTTTCAATGAACCATCCCCTATTGATAATACTGGTGCTTTTGTTTCAATCATATTTAACTTTAGTTGACAATTCGGATACTTTTTACCAATCTAGAAAATTAAAGTTTATAAAAAGCACTTTAGTTTGTAGGAAGTTGAATACACAAAAACTAGAAAATATAATCTCCCAACATGGATTCAATCAGATTAACAATAGACCAATAAAAACATTTTACAAAACACTTATAGGTTACAATGAATTGTTTATATTGTCTTATAAATGTTGTAAAATTTCATTCATTATATAGACCAGAGTTGAACTATTTTTGGATTGATATTCTTTTTAAAGATTCAACTTTCAAAATATTATAGTTTTCAAAGGATTCAAACTCCCTCAAATTTTGATAAGTTGTTTTCATATCGCTTTATTTATAAAACCGTGGTAATTAAAAACTACACATTTTAAAAGTAAGTACTGTATCTCAAAATTCATATATTATGAAACATCTATATCCTCTCAATTCGAAATAAAAACTTAATGACATTACAGAATGTTGATACAGGAATAACCACCATAAATCATTCATAGTTGCTATGAGAGATATAAGCTTCGCCCTTGAGGTGTGTAAATTAAAATACTAACCTGTGGTATGATTATACCTATACATTTCAATCCTGTACAGGTTGTATTTAATATTGATCGATTTGCTGGTGGTAACTGAAAATACAATACAATAATTATGTTGTAATTAACTTAAAGGAGCTAAATCGCTAATATTTGAGACCTAAAAATTGACAAATATGGGTCGCAACGCATATAATAATGTAATATGGATGTATATAAACTGATTTACATTCAATCGTTTCTGTTTTTACTTCAATTTCAAATCAGTTATGTTCAATGAAATATGCCAGAAGTCTCAATCGAATGGCAATCTCTAGTATCTGGTTATTCCAGTCTACACCGATAGTATTTATTGCACATGCTCTCCAGATAAGAATATGGCATCACTGTTTTACATGACTTGTGGAATATGTCTAGCCTCCTTCTTCGAGCCCCTTGTTACAAAGGGCGCTGAAACGCATTATGGTACACGATTCGTGTACCAATGGTAAAATGATTATTTTGTCATAAATATTAGATATCAGAAGCCCATCTTTTCCCGGTAAGATCACAACAGCAATGTTGATTTAAATTGACAAATAATTTGTGTTTTCAATGTCGAAGACTTTGGATGATACTGAGTTACAGACTTAGCTACTTTAAATCATACTTTAGAATTGAAAAGTTTCTGCATGTGGATCCAAAATCTATTCAGTACTTGTCCTGGTTTAGATAGTAAGTCTTAACTTGGAAATATTTATGCTGTGCAGTCAGATAGAAAACAGGCATGGCTTTCTTGTGTTTGCCTAACATTTAGCAAATGGCTTTCTTGTGTTTGCCTAACATTTAGCAAATCAAGCCAGATTTCCAATCTCTGGTTATTGCCAAATTAACAGCAAATTTATAGCTTACAACAGGCAAAACCTGAAAGGATATAGGTCCAAATCTTATTGTCGATGGCACTTGTCATCACATTAGAAGTGTGAATATGCATTAGACTTACGTCTTGAGATGAAAAATTATATTTAAGGTATCCATGTTTAAGGGCTGTATAACCCATAGAATTAGCCATATAATCAGACAACCATAGGTACACCATCTTGGATGTATCTTTATTTTCTGGTATTGGTTCTGGTTGAAATGGCGCTTCTGTTTTATCTCCATTCCAAAAGATCTCACCCTAAAAATAAAAAAAAAGAGAGAAAGAAATAAACCAGAAAGAAATATACAGTATAGAATTTCAATGAAATGAAGCTTAAGGTCCTAATGTTCAGCACCGACCCTTTTGGTGAGGATGAGCATACACTATGAGGGAAGTTTTGACTGATCAGCTGTCTTTCTGTCTACTCTGTCAAGGGTTCTTTTACATGCAAGTCAACATGTACAGGAAACCTTGGTTATGTCTATTTTCAAATGTTAAGAAAGGGCAGCAAAGAATTCCATTTAGCCTATATTATTGATAAATATATTAAGAATACCTTATGATGTGTTTCCATATATGTACTTGTAAATGTTGGAGTAGATATCAAGCTGTAATCTAATAAAAACTTCTTAGCTAAAACAACAGTCACTGAAATAGAGAAAACCCATGAAGTTAGTCAAGTCAATTTATCATATGGTGACAGACCCAGCTCCCCTAATATAGAAGAAATCAGTAAAAATTTATACCTGGTAATTTTTGTAAATCATTTTCTCCATCAACATTAACTGCCTCTTTCACAATTTGTATCAGCTAAAATAAAAAATAAATTAATTGATAATAAGACTTTGTAATTTTCAATTAAAGGACAATATTGGTGTCAGTCATTATCACATATGTGATACAACACGACAGAAAAATAGAAAAAGTCTGTGCATTACCATGTTTTTATTAAGTATAGAATGAATAAAAGCAAGGGAATGTACGGACTATTTCTATTTATCTTGTGTTCTCTTATCTAATGACATTCAATTACTTTATTGAATAATCAGATATCCTCTTACGGTCTCATACATGTATAACAACTTTTGGTCTTGGAAGGACATTAGTGAGCAGAAATTCGCCTGTGCATCTGTTATCACTTGTCACTTCAGTCAGTTATACAGAGGGATAACTCATGTTTTCCTTTTGTGTTCGTTACTTCCTTTTGTAGAAAACTTCATTACGCATCCATCGTAGCAATGATCTCTGTGTTAAAATTATATTTGGAACGTGTTTAACCAGTTCTATCACATATGTGATAATGACTGACACCGATATTGTCCTTTAACAGACTGATATAAGTTGAGAGGTATCATATCTGTATAAAACAACATTTAAATCGGTGCACAGATAATATACTATCTCAGTGCAAACAGAGAGAGAAATGGAGTTTAACTAACAGATAATATACTATCTCAGTGCAAACAGAGAGAGAGATGGAGTTTAACTAACGTCCACTCGACACCAACTGGGTAGGTTCGGGACTAACGCATGCTTCCATTTTATTTCAATAATTCGCTTGTGTGTAGGGGTCTTTAAAGCAGTGCAAGGAAACCAGATGACCTGTGGACATCATACCAGACTCGACAGGGAACTCTTTTCAGGGGATTGAAACCACGCTATTTGACTCAATGACAAATCTAACAATTCGGCCACATAATCAACTCTCAGTGCAAACAAGCTCCTGATTTGCTAAAATATTAATGTAAGGTTTATAACATTACCTTTGCTTGTAGGATTCCTTTGATCTTTCGTTCTATGGTACCTGAGAAGAGATTATAAATCCAAGATGCTCCACCATGAAACTTGATATGTACTCCGCCGATACTACAACTGCCTCCTGTTGCTGTTAAATGTGGTCGACCGTTAGAATCTTTTCCTACATTTAAAGAACATACAATTCAAAATCAGTTGAATAATTATATTGGCAATAACCTTATATTATCATATTAAAGAATGAAACAGCCTAGCCTGCATTATTAGGTACTATTTATCATAGGTCATTACAAAATACACCATGCTTAAAGATACATTATGGGAGATTAGATAAAGAGATGGCAATTCTCGCTATAATAGTTAAAAACTAGATGGTGTAAAGGTAATTTGCTGAAAATTTCAGTCAAATTGATCCACTATGAGCCGAGAACAAAGCGGGTGAAATTTTCGCATAGTCTCGGTCATCATTACTAAAATCATTAATATAAACAGCATAGTCTCGATTATCCACTGTTTTGATTTTAATATCGAAATCTAATCCAGCCAACATTGAAGGCTAGCCTTGACATCGAGAGTTTATTATGTTCTGGATAAGTTAATTAATGTCTAATTGATAATTTAGATAACATTTTGCTCTTGCATAATGCATGTTTAATCTGGTGTTATGAAGATAAAACTATGTTGAACGCAGGATGGGATTGTACACGTATTAAATGTGTTTCACTATTGATCTTGGTTCCGCAATCACCTAGGCCCATGTTAGAGTCTGACCCGACTTTCACCTGGATTGCTGTGGAATCTACCAGTGAGCTCAGTATTAATAACAAGTAAATCTTACCAATATTCATTATAAGAGAAAAAGAGATTCCATTGGCAGAAGCATCAAAACTACCATGATCAGATATTTTAATCCTGAAATAAATTCATAATTATTTACTATTTACACCATATTCAATATTCAACGCATTGGAAGGAAATGACACAGGAACTAGATCTTAACAGGACAGTATGTTTAATCTTTATTCTGGATCACAGGTGCCTTTAACATGGAGAATCTTTATCAATTTTAAGCCTATAAGTACCGGTGCTGATAAAGAAAAGTTTTAAGATAAGTTAATTACCCTTGAATCAGATTCAGACCAGTTATTTTATGCTCTCACCCACTTCGTCACAGCTTAATATTAAAAGAGATTTTCCACATTACAGTTCTCTGTGCTCTGGATAGGTGTTGAAACCTTGTCTCCTTGATTAGGACACTATATTCCTGCATTCTGGTCAACTCACAGAATTATGTACTAGTAGAATAGTGCAAAGTATAATAACAGTGATGGATCCATTCATACCCTCTCCCCCCACACCCCCCCCATAAAACAATTCATGTATTATTCTGTTTCTATGAAACATATGATAATGAGCTTTTTGTTATTTGGGTAATGTAGGTGATCAAATTGAATGTTATATTTAGGTCCAGATATGAGCCACAGATCACAATTGACACCCAGATTTTTTCAAGTTTTCTCAGAGGATTGATCCCCCCCCCCCCAACCCCTCCACACACTAAAAAAAAAATCCTGCATATCCCACTGTATCATTAATTAACACAAAACTTTGTCTAAATAAATCAGTAATTGTTCTTCAAACAACACTACTTACCATCCTTTTTTGTACTTGTATCGCCAGTTACCTTTCATTGCTACACCAGCACCAGTTACACTCCATTTTAAACCTTGATTTGGAACAGGAGTTATACCACCAGATGGTTTAGTAAAACTTGTGATAGTCATGCTGTAAATGTAATTATAGAACCAGTGAGGAGTTCAGCTCTGTACAAAGATTACTAATTTTAATTTAATTTTGAGCTTACTGTATCGTAAAAAATATTCCATGAAGAAATCCAATGAAATACACAATTTTACTTTTTACCCAAATCAAAGAGGTCTAGTCATTTTAAGCATGGCAACATCTGAGTTCCAATTGAAATTGCTCCAAGTGATGTAATACCGCCATCAACCATAACTCTAGAAGTAATTAACGAAAATTGCTGAAATTCAATACACTTCTTCGCTTTACTAATCTAAATGATGTATATAAATTTAATTCAGATCGGATGATAAGTTTGTCGTTAGGACATTCAACAAAGTGAAACAAGGGGTATAACTCAAGAAATAATTAACAGAAATTATTGAAATCACCAAATAGGCTTCTTTGTCTCACTAAGGTAAATAACATAGTCATTTCAAAACGATCAGATAATAAATGTAGTCAGTAGAGTGTTCACATGAAAATGGTGGATGACGGACCGATCGGATGATAACTTTTGTCGTTCACAACTTTTCATAACGTTCAACAAAGTGAAATAAGGGGTATAACTCAAGAAATAACAGAAATTGATGAAATTCAATAGGATTCTTCATTTCACTAATTTGAATCATGTATATAAATTTCATACAGATCGGATGATAATTTTTGTCGTTTGAGGGTTTACAAGGTTCAACAAAGTGAAACTCCAGAAGAAATAAACAAGAATTATTGAAATTAAACAGCCTTCTTCATTTAAATTTCAAAACAATCAGATGATAAATGTAGTCTAGAGTGTTCTCAAGAAATTCTGATGATGGACTGATCGGACGATAACTTTTGTCATTAGAGCATTCACTATGTTCTACAAAGTGAAACAAGGAGTATAACTCAAGAAATAATTAATGGAAATTACTGAAATTCAATAGTCTTCTTCATTTCACTAATTTAACAGTCTGTAGAGTGTTCATAGGATATTGTTGATGAGGGACGGACGGCAATATAGGACCACATTTCATGTGGCGGTCATATAAAAATCTACAATTCAAAAACAAATTTGTAGAACATTCCTAGCTCTGTCAGAATAACACATCTAGGATATTATAAAACAAGACACTTCAGTTTCTTTTTTTTTTTTAAAAATGACTATAATTATATCTACCCTGTCATCTGATACTGTATATGACTTGCTTCTCCAGACTGATCTGGTATTTTCATACCTGTCACTTTTCCAGACAGAGCATTAATAGCTTCATTTGCAGCTGTAATGAAAAGATAAATGTAACTTTAATGTCATTATACGGATTGCTTAATGATTTACATTTCATTGCTCCAATCCCCAAACTTAGGTATAGAACATTTCTGTCAGATACAGGGTGGCTAAGTGGGTAAGGCACTGGCTCACTAGCCTTGAGGTCGGATGTTCGATCCCTGCATTGGCCGAGAAAGTTCATCCAGATTTTCCGGCATGGTTCCCCCTTGTCAGTGATGCAGGACGGAGGGCCTGACAAGGACAGTTGTCTAGTCGTTTGGATGGGACGAAAAACCGAGGTCCCATATACACATTGGCGTGCTCGTAAAAGATCCCTTGATAGTTGGAATTCGATATAAGAGTAGGCCGTAGTGCCGCTGTCCGGGCAAAATTTCCCTCATAGCACACTGTATGGCGTATGCCCGTCTTCATTAGTCCAGTTCAAAGCAAAACAGTAGGACGTTAAACCCCATTTCATTTCATTTCTGTCAGATACAGAATTTTTAAAGTTTGTATCCACATGGAACTAACTTTTCAGTACCCAGATAAACAGTAACACAATGATAAAGAACCTTTGTATCCAAGGACTAAAGGATGCAACAGGACTTAAGTTTTTATACTTTTATGCAGGTATTATACTTTCAACAGTGTGATTAGACACTCTGAGTTATGGCAGGGCCTTGCCAAAAACCTAGCATCCAATAAACCAAGGAACCATGGTTGCTAAGTGAGAATGACGCTGACTCGCTGGCTTGGAGCTCACAGGTTGATCGGGAGGGTTCATCAGGATTTTCCAGCATGGCTTCCCCTTGTCATTGGTGCAGGACAGAGGGCCTGACAAGGACAGCTATCTAGTCATTTGGATAGGATGAAAAAAACGAGATCCCGTGTACACATTGGCATGCACATAAAAGATCCTTTGGCAGTTGGAATGCGATATAAGAGTAGGTCTTAACACCATGCTGTCCAGGAAAAACTTCCCTCATAGCACACTGTATGGTGTATGCCCGTCGTCATTAACCCAATTGGAGCAGAACAGTAGGACGTTTCCGATGAACCAATGATAAGGACAGAAGGGAGATGGGTTGTGTTAAGTGACCCAAGATTTCCAACTCTACTCCAACTGAATCCTATCTCAACCCTGAGCAATACAAGTAATGTGAGTGGTGGACAGATTCTGCTATGTAGTAAAGATATTATATATCTTCAATGTTCGAATCAAGTTTTATATATAGGTCTGCAAGTGTTAGACAACACAAGAATGGTATTGTCTTATTCTGTAAAATTTAAACATACATTATGCAAGAGCTAAATCAGCCTATTGCAGGTCTTTCTTTAGGCCTGAAATGTTTTCTAAATTATTAATTAAAAATTAATTAACTGATCCAGGCCATAATCAACTCTCGATGGCATCTGATTTTTCCAATATTAAATAGATTAGAACGATTCAGCCATATTTTGATTTAATCTAAAAATGGAGAAGCAAGACTTAGCTTCAAACAACCAGTATACGGTGATTGAAATTATTGCACACGTCTTGTCAATCCTTCAAAGGCTAATATCTTCACACACAACAGAGTAATTTGAATGAAATTTTCAAATTATTCATTTATTTACATAATCTATTTTCGAATTATTATAACAAGAATGGCTAGCTCTTTATCTAAATCTTACATAATGTATCTTTAAAGATGTCAGTTATCAACCACATGTATAAAGTATTTGACAGGTAGACATACGAGTTCATGTAAATTTGGATATAGTAACATCTATATAGCCTAAATGAGGAAGTATATATATATATATCAATCAGATAAATTAGGTTTTAGTAATCTACAATGAGGAAATAGGTCAGATTAAGTTAGTTTTAGTAGTCTTCAATCTCTGCAAAATAAATCTTACATAACACTTTACTGTGAGGAAATAAATCAGTTTATCTTATTTATACAGGTCAATAAATGTACATCCTACATGTTTGATTCTCCAAAATTTAAGATTTCTAAAGTAATGACTCATTAAGTGTTGTCAGTTTGAAGAATATGCCTTTTCAGAGATAGTTGGCCCTATTTATATAAGTAGCCTAAACTAAAACACTATTTTGCTAATTGCCAATTAAGGCACAAAAGTTAAAACTTCAAAATTGTTGGTAGCCTACATACACAGGTTGAGCAAGACAACAAAATACAACCTGATTTCTGAAAACATTTTTATTTTTCGTACATAATAAATGTCATATTTTCAACTAAAGACTTTTTTGGCAATGTAGCTTAAAATTTTCGTTCATTTTTTTTATTTTTTTTATTTTTTTGGGTTATAAATTGCACTCATAGGAGCTGGACTAAGCTGTCCTCCATGCACCCCTACCCAAAATCAAATTATATAACATACCGTATGCCAATGCCTTTTCTGTAATTCTGGCCTGAAATCCTGGGTTTTGCGGGCCAGTAGTTCTCTGGGTAGAAATAGAAGTAGATACAACTGCAGCAAACACAATGACCACAAAACAAATCATTTGTACAACTGTGGAAAGGGAAAACTTTTCCATCCTTTCTATCTCAAGTTTCTGTAATTCAACTTCGAAGACTTATAGTACTTTGTTCTTAGTCACAGCTTTCAAATGAAACGTATAATTGGATATTGAGAAAGACGAGGATGTAAATTCTTATCTACATGTCTCAAACGATCAAAGTTTCCTTGTCATAATGTTGTTACCCCAGTAATACGTATTGTAAATCTGTCACGTGTTCCCATGTTTTTGATAAATAGCGTCAACTGATAAATGTTGTTTGATGAGCAAGACTATGTTTATGAAGCTTGACGGATATTTATAAATAGTAACAGGCAAAATACTACCCAATCGAATGCGTTGGATTGTAGACTCCTTTAGTCATGTGCATCAGAAGTGTGCCAAACTAAAAACTGGAAAAACCGCAATAATAGTGAGACTGAGAGAGAGAGAGAGAGAGAGAGAGAAATGGGGTTTAACCACTGGAGATCAGTGGGTTTAACGTCCACTCGACACAAACTAGGTCATTTCGGGACTAACATATGGTTTAATTTTATTTCTATAATTAGCTTGTGCATAGGGGTCTTTAGCAGTGGGAGGAAACCGGAGGACCCGGAGAAAACCCACGAGGTTGGACAGGCGACCCTACTCCTTATCCCGTACAACCGGGGATTCAAAACCACGCCAGTCGACTCAATGACAGACTTTCTGATACAGCGCGCGCACGCTAACCATTCAGCCATCCACCCCCCCCCCCCCACAATAGAGAACTCAAAAAACTAAAATAAATCTGAGATCAGCAAAAGAGAAGAACGGAACGGAGCTGTACGTGTGTGTGTGTGTGTGTGTGTGAGAGAGAGAGAGGGGGGAAGAGAGGGGAGGAGGGGGTAGGGGGGGGGGGGCTTTTCCGAGATAGGGGGTGGGTTGAATTGGGTGGATTTGTGATAATGTTTTAAACCGCTTTACATCTCTAAAATTTAGTAAATATAGGCTAAGGTGGTTTATGTAGGAATTCGACCCGCTGAATCCAATGAGTTTGGGTATCCATCCTAAAGTGACGGCTAATTTCGCTAGGGGGCCAAATTCAAAATGGAGGCTCATTTTGGCAGGAAACTCCTTAGTTCTCTAAAAAAAAAAAAAGGTGCGCATTGAAATATGGATTTTCGGTGTCAATTACCAAAGTTAACTGGCTGAGCTCATATTCAAAATGGCGACCATTTTGCGGGACATTGCCATATGCGTACGGGCTCGATGACAGTGGGCCAGAACCCGAAATGCCCGAAAAAATTTCGGGTTTACAGACAGCGGCGTCGGTCTTCCTCGAGAGGCGAAGAAGCAGAGTTTATCTTGCATGCCCCCCCCCCCCTAAAGAAAATTTTGGAATATTTGACGGCTGCCAACACGTTTTCCTGCTATTTTAGTCCTTGAACAAAGTGGTCTGTTATAGCCTAATTAAGATGGCTGACTCGAATTCCAATCAAAAGATCAATCGTTTACAGTCCACGAAGACGGGACCATTAGCAGAAAATTTTTAAAATTTAACTGCCGCAAACGCGTTTTCCTGCTATTCCAGCCTGTGAATACACCAACTTCAATTTGGTCCAATATAGCCCACCTAGCTGACCCGAATTCCAAACAACCAATCAATCGTCGCAGAGTATGGAGGCCTCACCCTCCCGGAGAAAATTTTGAAAATTTAACCACCGCATATGCGTTTTCTGCTATTCTAGCCCGTGTAAGCACTCCAACAGTATCAAATGGTTTGGTAACCTAAATCCCATTTTGAATTCCAACCATTCAATCAGACTGTTACAGCTGCATTCACAAATAATAATCGATGCCCGAAAAATGTCGCACAAAGTAGAGTGGCTCCAGACAAAATGTTTTAATCCATAGTCAACTCAGTACAAATTTCTTGGTATTCAATTAAAAGATAAGTAAAATTAGTGTTTTATTAGGGCTCAGTGACAGGGAAGCAAAACTAGAAATGCCCGAAAAAATTTAAGGTTTACAGACAGCGGCGCCGGTTTTCTTCGAGAGACGAAGAAGCGGAGCTGATCTTGTAAGGACCCCCCAAGAAAATTTTTGGAATATTTGACGGCCGCAAACGCCTTTTACTGCTATTCCAGCCCGTAAAATTAGTGTTATATTAGATTTCGGGCAATTTATTTTGCCAAGTAGATGAAATAAAAAATTTTTTTCACTCCACCCGTCTGCCCGAAAAGTCAGCTTGCCCGAAAGTTAGGGGGGCAGCTGCCCCCCCCCCCCGGCTCGTACGCCTATGGACATTGCGATGTTAGTAATTTATTTAATAGTGTACGTCAAACTAGGTTTTGGGGATCGCTGAATTCATATCTGAACAGCTGAATGTCCTATATATGATTGAAATAAACGACAATATGGTTCTGAAACCCGACATTAGGCTATAGCTAAGTTTAGGAGACCATGGAAAGGGCTCACACCTGAGCTTCTAGATAAGATGTAATGTCAGTCTCTCCTAGCAAAACTCTGTAACCTTTATATACTGAGCGCCATGGAAAACGCATCACTTTTTTTCACAAATATTTTATTACTAGGTGGTTTTGTATGTATAATATTATGCAATACTATGAACTATTGTTTCACACAATGCTTCCAAACGCAAAAAATATCGGCCCGTGTGCAACAAAGAAATTGCACGAGATGCACATGAAAAACCCAATATTCACGTGCAGCATTGTGTGTGAGCCCTTTAAAAGCATGTTTTCAACTTAATGTGCAGTACATGAACTGTGAAACGTCAATCTGTCGTAATTTGTTGTTGGACGTGTGAAGAAATCGAGCTAGAGATGCCGAGACTTACTGAAAATCAACGGAATGATGCCATGGAAATGTTCAGGGCTGGCATATCTACACGTGCTATTGCCAGACACTTCAATTGTCATCAGTCCACTATTGTAAGGCTGGTGGAACGTGTTCGAGTTACTGGATCAACATGTGACCGTCAACGTCCTGGTCCACAACGCGTTACAACCCAGGCTCAAGACCGCTACATCCGGGTCACTCATCTGCGTGACAGATTCCGCCCAGCGACTCGAACAGGTGCAGCAGTCGTCGGAAGACAAGGACCAGTAAGTGCCAACGCCGTAAGACGTCGTCTAAGAGAAGTAGGACTCCGTGCACGACGACCTTATGTTGGAGCTATCCTCAGGGATCATCACCGTCAGCGGCGTTTGATATGGGCTCAAGGACACCAGACATTGAGAAGAGTAGACTGGCAAAGTGTACTCTTCAGTGATGAGAGTCGCTTTCATCTTTATCACGCTGATGGCCGTCAACGTGTGTGGAGACGTCTTGGGGAACGTCTTGCAGACACCTGCGTCTTCGAAACGAATCGTTGGGGTGGGGGAAGAGTAATGGTGTGGGGAGGCTTCACATTTCATCACCGGACCGCCCTACACATTTGCAGGGGTCGCGTTAATGCTGTAGCCTACCGTGATGATGTCTTGCAACCAATTGTTGTTCCGATGTTTCGAGCGCACCCACAACTTCAGTACTTCCAACAGGATAATGCACGTCCGCATACCGCCTGTTTTAGTATGGACTACCTGGCTGCTAACAACATCAATGTCTTGGACTGGCCAGCCATGTCTCCGGACATGGCACCGATAGAACATGTCTGGGATGAGATTGGACGCCGTCTGTATCGGAGACCACAGATGCACACCATTGCTGCTTTAGAAGTTGCTCTTGTCCAAGAATGGAACAATTTGCCCCAGGCCTTCTTTCAAACATTGGTAAATTCCTTGCGACATCGCTGCACAGCGTGCGTAAGAGCCCGTGGAGGACACACGCGCTACTGAATCCTGTGTCGTACTTTTGGTTTTGACCCCTTTGACTTTGTGCCGTTGATTACAGATTAAACATCCATAAGTGTACAAATGTGTTGTTATTGATGTGTTCCCATTTGAATATTGTTCACAATAGATGCAAAATAAATAAGATATGTTTACAGGATCATTTTGTTATACGAAAAACTAAGTGATGCGTTTTCCATGGCGCTCAGTATATATACAATTATTGATTCGTATAATAACATGCGATATACTCGCCACTTGGAAGGGGGCGAATATAACGGGAAATATTTAGTGGTGGTGATGAGCATGGGATGGAATGTGTGTGCGTGTCGCTGCAGCTTTGGATCGGCTGTAAAGACGAACAAATGAATATCTTTATTCTGCAAGTATATCATCAAATTATTCCCAAATGAATATCTTTATTCTGCAGGTATTTCATCAAATTATGCACAAAATATCGGTTGAGATGTTTTCGGTTTTATTATATCGAGCACTCGACTTAGTATCTCGACCGCTGGACTTAAAAAAAAAGTATCTCGAGCGCGGGACTTAGTAAATTGAGCGCTCGAGATAGTTAAGTCGAGCGCTCGAGACTTAGTATCTCAAGCACTCGACTTATTATCTCGAGCGCTCGAGATATTTTTTTTTTGCGTGTCCTAAATCAGCCACCGTAGAAGGGGGTAAATATAACGGGAAATATTTAGTGGTAGTGATGAGCATGGGATGGAGCGTGTGTGTGTATGTGGGGGCCGTGGGAGGATCCGCTCCGCCACTGCAGCTTTGGATCGGCTGTAAAAACGAACAAATGAATATCTTTATTCTGCAAGTTTATCATTAAATAATGCACAAAATTATACAGCTTAAAACATAGGCTGAGACGTGTTCGATTGTATTAACTCGAGCGATCGACTCAATATTTCGAGCGCTCGACTTAATTATCTCGAGCGTTCGACTTAAAGTAGCTAAGTCTCTAACTCAATATCATCAAAAATCTTCATTGAAAACACGAATTATTTGTCAATTTAAATCAACATTGATGCTGTAATCTTACCGGGAAAAGATGGGTTTCCGATATCCAATATTTAAGACGAAATAAACAGTTTACCATTGGTACACGAATCGTGTACCATAATGCG